CAAGTCAAAGAAACAATGAATTACAATACAAGTAGCCTAGAAGGTGTGAAAACACACAAAAACAACCAATCACGTCCAAGGTCACCAGGAGAGATGATTAATAAACTCGTGGAGAAATCTAAAAGCTCACTTCAATTCAAATTGAAGTATGCACTGAAGATGTCGCCTAGTAGGGCGTTGAAAGCTTCGCAAATTAACTATCCAGCTCAGAGAATACAACCATATCAAAATCATCCACTTGAGCTACAAATCTTCTCTATCATATCTACAACCATCTATATTTTTTATCACAACTGACATTATCATTAATAATAAAAATTGTATACATATATTATATATATATACAACTGTATAGGTTAATGATCACTTCATTGAAAAGAAACTCTTCGTTGAATTTCTTGTCTTGATCTTCTGAATGCTCTTACATTAGTTTTCCATGAATATAGAATGTGAACAACACAATGCTGTTAAGAGAAGTTAGGAACTAATTGAATATACCCTCGTTTTGGCTGTTTTTCCTCTTCAAAGTAGTAGTAGTAGTAGTAGACGTTTCAAGTAGTTTCAAGACTATGGATGGACATCAGTTGGAGAACCATTGAAAATCAAGGAGTAATGGGCAGTTGTTGTTTTTTTCCTTTAGTTCGGGACACTTCATCGGTACTCACCCATAACCCTTTCCAGGGGTAGGTGGCATGACATCTAGGTTAGGTAGTGAGCCCATCGGTCGTTCAGCCACCAGGACGGGAGGCAATAGCTCATGAACTCCACATTCTGTGTACTGCTTAACAGTGTCAAACTAGTACCCCCTGGTTTTCACTAGTACACTGACTGACACCAGCTAATGGTATAACTTCAATTCAGTCCAAATCTTTAGAGACTAACAATTGAAAATAAATATTAGACCACTGGAGTGGTGAGCAGTCTGCCAGAAGCTCTTATCAAAATGAAGCTGAGGATAGGGTGTTATTATAACTTCGAACTACCAGTGAGTTCATAAGTATGGACGCTTTTTCTTGGTTATTTACCATCTTCATTATAAACTGTTGAATGATAAATCTTACGAAAAATTCCCATCCGAACATTTCGGCTTCTTTAAGAAGAACTTTCTTCTCAGCAAAGTTGACAGTAGTGTTCTCCAGTCACTTAGTGGCCTGCAGAAGTCTAAAGGACAAGATCTCGCATCTCACTACTTCTGTGCCTACATATCAGCTCACTTGTTCCTGTGGTGTCAGTTATATTGGTCGTTCGACGCATTTCCTGTCTAAAAGAGTTCAACAACACTATCCCAATGCATGGTTGCCGACCTTGTCAACCGCGGTCATTCTATCTTAACTAACGCCTCCTTCAAAGTAATCTGCAAAAAGTGAAGAATAACCTGCCGAAGGCAAAATACGCTTTCATCTCCCTTACAGTGGTAAAGCATGAGAAATCTAGTTAGAAAAGCCGGAGTTATGCACAGAAAAGAAAATTATTCAACCACTTCTACTATCATAGTAACAACCGTGTTGATTTCTACTCACTGTGTAGTAGCTTTGTGGCCTGTTCGGACGAGGTGTTCCAATACAGAACTATTGATGGTTTCGAAACATCTTTATCTAACCACACTGATAGATGTTCTCAAGCAGGAAACATCAGGTCCCAAGAGCAATGGTCAATGTAAATAGCTCCACACATACAGTTGAATTAGATACAATTAGAGATGGTAGCCAACATTGAAGATTCTTTCTCTATCATCTACCAAGTATCGAATAAATTACCAAAGGTCTTTAGATACTGAACACTTCAAACAGTAAAGGCCATTGAAATTCGCCTATGTTAACCGGAGCTGTGCGTGCATAAGAAACAGGTCCAACACCATTATGGATAAGATTTTATCTTGATAAATCACACAGTGGTGTACAGTAATATTTACTGATGACCACGTTTCGAGCACAATTTATTGCTCATAATCATATCATATGGGTGTGTGAGTACTGCCGAAAAGTCGCAAACTAGGACGAAACAGCTGTCCAATGGTTCTCTAACTGATGTCAGCTCATGATGAAATCCTCCAATCAATCAAACAAAATCCCTATAAAACCAATACTTAAACATACTATTCTAATTCTTGAGCACCTGGTGAACTCAAACCACGCTGTTCCACCAATGGAATCACCTTTTTATAGTGTCAAAGCAGTAAGACTGTATGATACATGAGATGTTATGTTTCAACACTTGTAAATAACAAAGGCTCTAGGGTTAAGATACGCTTATATTACTTTCCCGTCTCTCTCCTGGCTGGCTTTTCTCTCCTCATCCATACTGCGTGCAGTTGAAACGATGTTGCAGAAGCCATTTCAGTGAAAGAAACCACTTCTATTGAGTTCTTTCACTGGATGGTGACTGGTCACATAACTCTATCATCTCTATCTTTAATGTGTTTATCTGAAGTTCTATCTGCTCTGACTCTTCTACTCTTCGCTTATAAGTCTTAGAGTTAATGCATTGTGAAACACAAATCACTTATGAGGTTTAAATCTTCTACAGTCCTTCTGTGAATTCACCATAATCCATTTTTCTCGCTGCCTACAGTCTCTTGTATGATTCAGTTCACCACAGAAAGGAAGACTGTCGGTGACAGTAGGTCAAATGATTCCCATAAACACCGAAATCAATATGTCCTAAGGGTTCGTTGCTTGATATTTACTAACCAAGTATTGAATGTAATCATCAAACAAGTTGGTCCGACAGTTATCTACACTGTGGCAATGCTACGCGTCAAAAACAGCCGTTCAATCTTTAATTTCAAAACAAAATGATATGAGAGTGTAAAACGATTCTGTGTAACTTAAACTTATAACCACAACACTTATTTCATCGACAGATTTTGACTAAGTCACACAAAAAGCTAAACAACTAAACTAGTTGACATTCGATGGCCCGTTCATACGATAAAATCTATGTAGTAGTAATTAGGCAGCAATTGACTTCAAAGAAACACTCTCATTTCGTCCTGTTTCCAGCTTGTCAAGTATCTGGTTTGAATAAAACTCAGAATCCATTGTAACAGAAGTCGAGGTATTATTATTATTTATTATTGTTTCCTTTGATTCTTAGAGGAACATAGGGCTTCAGCCGTGCGTCTCCATTGCATTCGGTTCTCTGCTAGAGTCTTCACCTGGCTCCAAGTCTGCCCACACGTTTTCATCTCCTCTTCGTGTTGCAAAACCATAAATACCGAAATCAGTATGCCCTAAATGTTCAAGGTATTATACAGTATGCTATCAAGCCACAGTAACTAAATTTGATTAATTCATCTGTTTGACACGTCAAGCTAGATAAAGCTGCTCACTAAGTGACGCAGGTGATACAACGTTTGCCATACGAAGGTGACCTTATAGAGTGAAGGTGTAACACTTATAACACTACTTCGTTGCACAAAAACGAGGAAATTTTGCTCTGTGCTTCCTCTGTGGCGCGTGCAGATTGATAGGAAGCGGTCAGAATTGAAATAAGCATTTCAGGTTGATGGCTGCACAAGTAGATAGAAGTGTTAATTCCTCAAATCTGGATTTAGTTTACGTTGTGGTCATGAAGTACTCTTATTGGACAACCTTGTTTAATCTTCGGCCAATCGCCAACCAATCAGAAGGATTTATTGTCCATTGACCTAGTCGACTTTTAATATGGTTAAAAATGTATAAATATGACGTGTTTTTTCGAAATAAAGTAGTCCCTTTCAAATTCTCTTATCTTCCACCGTTATTTCTTCAATGTCTCCGATTATATCGAAAAACTTCCAACTGACTTTTAAACTTTTAAGTTTTAGAAATAGGAATCATGTTGTAAACATATAAATTAATTAATACTCAAAATGTTGATAATACTTTCAATTAGGCAAGGTAATATAGATTTTAGGAAAAGAAACTCAAAGATTTGATGTTATTTCTTGCAATTTGGGGCTAGCAGTGATATCCTGAATTTATCTTTCGTCATTCTTGAGTTTAGTCATTTGAATGCGCATGCTTTCCAGTGAGTGATGCGACTTGACCTTAGCACACACGGTCCTAAACCCCAGATCGTTATACACTAGGCTTCTGAGAAGAAAGCAGACTTACTGATAAGAATACAGTGTGCATTGTAGTTTCCTAATTATGGTTATTCATGAGTCTCCTTAGAATTATTTATCAATTCGAAAGAATTCCGTAGATTTGATTCTATTAGAATCAACTAATTGGGTTGCACACAGTTCCGTGGACTCCTTAATTTGAGGTGTACACTGAGGTAATCTAGAAAAATTTGTACACACAGTGTGTAGCGCTCACTAACTTGATGTACTCGCACTTTATGAAGTGAGCTGCACTTAAGCGTTTTAAGTAATTGGGTAGAATGTTCAAGCCTTACTGGAAACACAGTTTGTCACTAAGATCCGGGTAGATCTAGCTGAAGAGTCCAAGGTGCTATTTAACTTTTTGTAAGTATAAGATGGGTGGAGGCAATCGGCAGGAAGCCTTCGACCTAGGTTTTGTGCTAGTTGGCACTCTTCTCAACAGGGCGTACCTGCAACCTTGAAGGAGCTCAATCGCGAGCTCGAATAGCTCACTGGTGACGTTTCCGACTGCAGTATTGGGTGATGCGGGTTCAAATCGCAGAAGGGACATTAGTTCCTTGAAGACTGCAGATCTGCCTTGCTGACTGGTGAGTGTCAACTAGCATAAATCCTAGGTCCAAGGCTTCCTGTGAAAAGTTGCCTCCAACCATCAAATAACAACAATTCAGAGTGATATTGATGATGAACTACCCAGCATGGTGGCCATATTGCAAACTTGACTGATGGAATTCAGTCTGCACCAAACAAAGGACTAGACACATTACACTAGTTACTGAGTAGTGTCCAATCAAAGTATTCTCCTGTAAAACCTTATAGAGCATTCAGAATACATTTTATATTTTCAGTACATTATTTGCATTTCATCATAGTAAAGAGTGAATTATTTTAAAAATTAAAATTTTCTATTTAGATATCATCATTGTGCATATTGGCGTTTACCTGATGGTCATTCAATTATTGCTTCATGTACACCATTTACACTGCATCGTTGTGGAAAGAAATTGTAAGTTTTTAAAATATATATATGTATATATGATATCATATCCTTTTTTTGTTAATTTGAATTCAGCGCCCAAATACTTTTAGGGTTAATTTAAACAAAACTTCAAATGACCTTGAGATTGTTAGGTGAATATTGACAAAAAATAAGCAAATTAAATTGACTAATTAATGAACAACATTTAGGGCTCCATACGAAAGTGAAAAATGAGGTTAAACTATCTTTGATAACTAATATTTCGTCATACTCAGAAAAAAAAAATAGACAATCCGCCATGTTCGAGAATCAGCTGAGTCTTCTATACCATCTGATTATGCCCTAGTGAAGAATATTGATTTCCAGTTTGAACAGTTTGTAAGGCAGTGATTAATATCAAATTGATATGAATAGATGCCTATAAAAATGACAGTGAATGATATTTACTGCATGTCATGCTATTATTTTTACTAGTGAATAGGTAAAGAGCCTTTAAACTCAAACTATATACTCTGAATTCAATCTGAATGATGGTGCATTTCCACCTCTTGGTCACTGAGTCTTTCAGAAATAAAGTAGAAGTTTTGTAGCTCAGGCAAAAGCTTTTTAAACTGCATGGCGTAATTGCAATGCTTTGAAATAAAGCAAGCTATCAGATTTTTGTCTGGAAGGATGTTCAAAGCTTCTCAGTGAAAGTAAATAGCTTGGAGGAAAAAATACTACTATAATAAGTGAAACCAACTTGCTGTCGTCTGAACAAATGGAACCGATCTTTGCTCCTTAATTGTATCGCTGACAAAATTTCCTTATGAGATGCACAGTCATAAAATACTCCAAAGACAGAAAAAAAGACAATTATCCAAACAAGTGTGCAGAACAAAATTTGTTGACTAAAATTCTACTATCTGAAGGACCTTAGAATCAAGAAGAATATTCCCAACAATGGTGGAATCGAAATTCTGTCAACAAGAATCCCACATCAATACTTTCCCCAGACAGTCCAAGGTCAGAACAATCTTCATTTACTCAAACAAAATCATATCGTGAAACAGCACATAATCAATGTTTCGCACAGTCACAAATAGAAGTATTAAAATTAGAGATTAAATAGGGAGTGACAAAGTACAACTGATAAGATGAAGTCAACATATGATAGACAAATGTGAGAACAATGATATACAGGCTAGAAGGAAAACCGACTTTAATTACAAATTTATTGAAGCATCCAAACAAGCATCAGCGTTGTAACTAGATCATCTAGTAGGAATTTCCTAAACAACTATTCCGTTACAACTGCAGACAGCCTCCTTGTATGAATTCAGGTAAATACAAAGTTCTCATAGACAGGATATCGGTATATTTTAATAGCCGTCGGTGGCACAGCGGTTAGGACTCTCGCCGACCATGCAAATGGTCAGGAGTTCGATCCTCTACCGACGCACACCACCTGATATACATATGATAAAGAAGATTTGTAGCTCAAGTGGATGATTTTGATGTGGTTGTGTTCTCTGAGCTGGAAAGTTGATTCGCGAAGCTTTCATCACCCTACTAGGTGACATCTTCAGCGTGACAAAATTTATCAACCGATAAGAAAGAAAACTCACACACAAAGGATCAAAGTTCAAATCAAAGAAACAATCAGTTCCAATATAAGTAGCCTAGAAGGTGTGAAAACATACAAAAAACAACCAATCACGTCCAAGGTCACCCACCAGGAGAGATGATTAATAAACTCGTGGAGAAATCTGAAAGCTCACTTCAACTAAAACTGAAGTATGCGCTGAAGATGTTGCCTAGTAGGGTGATGAAAGCTTCGCAAATTAACTGTCCAGCTCAGAGAACACAACCACGCCAAAACCACCTGATATCAATTGCTCGGCCTGCAAAATTTGTGCTATCGATATCACACTGTGAAAATTCCATACTTGTACCAAAAATACGGTGTGGAATCAGGCTATAATCAAAAAAATTAATTAATTAATAAACTAAGATGTAACGATTGTGGTTTTGATGCGTAATGTAACACAGGTCTTTTGCTTTTTTCATAATAAATATTAGTAATCGCTTACTTTAAATGCCAATTAGTATTCTGCAGCAAACTGCAACGTTTTACGGCCAAGACACAAATGTATGCATGCATATTTCTCGATAGTAAATATTTTACACCTACATTGCGGTTAAAGAAGGATGTAAACGCCAATTACAGACTTTTGAAATGAAACATCTATTGTCTAGTCCATATTGGATGCTGTCACATGAAGCTCTGGACCTAGGTTTCATGCCTGCTAGCACTCTTCAGCAGTTGTCAGCCGTGAATCTGAATAAATCAGTGTTAATGCCCCCTGACTATAGTACAAAGCGACACAGATGTGAATCTTCGAGAGGAAATCCATTTCTTCAAGGTTGTAGATTAGTACTTGATGAGTGCCAGTAGATGTGAAAGCCAGGTTCAAGACTTCCTGATATTTTTATTCTTTTACCACCTAACCTATTCTCATTGTTTGAAGAAGTAAACTTTTTTAATCGACAGGTCAATTTTGCATATCCTTTCAGAAGGACAGCTCGTAGACTATTGAAATACTGGGACCCGACTCAGTAACCATCCCATGAATTCCAAATTTTACTCATTCATGATTTTAACGCGTGTCCACCATCCAATGTCATCAGCGGCGAGTATTTATCCTCGCTCGCGAACGGATGGACCCTAAGTGGTCACGACTTCACACTAGAACTTCAGGAGACTTAGTCGCGCATCCAGTGGCTAGTGAGCGTCATTATTAATTTATTAAGAATTAGTTTTGATAGCATTATTAGAAGACGGAGATTATCTGAAAAATGTGATGTATTAACGCTATAACATTTCGAACAATCTGATCACACATTTACTTGTCAAGTCAATATATATGGAAAAGTTCAATTAAACAAAGTGACAAAAAAAGAATTAAGAATAATTAACACAAACGTTTGGTAATCCAATCAAATAAGGATTACCAAGGTAGGTTAAGAGGAATAACAAACTGTTTTTGAATACACACGGGGGGCTTAAGTTTATGAATGGCTATAGCCTCAGCGTATTTCAATAAACGTCTTTGACCGTTTTTATAGATGACCTTAAAGGTGATATAATCACTTGTGCACTTTTGAGGTTTCCAGTGCACAAGTGATTATATCACCTTTAAGGTCATCTATAAAAACGGTCAAGGACGTTTACTGAAATACGCTGAGGCTATAGCCATTCATAAACTTAAGCCCCCCGTGTGTATTCAAAAACAGTTTGTTATTCCTCTTAACCTACCTTGGTAATCCTTATTTGATTGGATTACCAAACGTTTGTGTTAATTATTCTTAATTCTTTTTTTGTCACTTTGTTTAATTGAACTTTTCCATATATATTGACTTGACAAGTAAATGTGTGATCAGATTGTTCGAAATGTTATAGCGTTAATACATCACATTTTTCAGATAATCTCCGTCTTCTAATAATGCTATCAAAATTTATATAAGGGACTAATTGTTTTAAAGAATTAGTTTGTAGGGATTGGATTTGTTTCAAGTTGCACCAAGGATTGATTGTGTTCCCATTCAACATTCTGTATTGGTTCCGTTTATATAAACCGTAAGATCAATAAAAGATACACACACACACCAACCTCTGAGCACATTTAGATAGATACTGACCAGCTTTCAATAAATATTGAACGTTCAAAGAGACGTTTTGAAGATTTCTGTTCGGAGTTATGAAGAGACAATATAATGAGATCTACAGCTTGGAAACGTCCATCTGCGGTTTGTCGAATTAATTAATGATAATAACAATAGAATAATAATAATAAGGAAAGGGCACATTTAGTTCTCAGGAAAATAACTATTAGATTCGATTTCTACTTTCCCCATAGTGAGGATAGTTAAAAAACTAAAAACCATCCCCACCAGCTGACTGATAAGAACATCCGATATCAGTTGTAGAGTAATTCAGTGTTCTGCCGCATATATATTAGTAGACATCAACTATCAGAACTTCATTTCAGTAGCTAATTGACGACACATTTACCTATGCGACGAACATGACTCAGTAACTATTATGACAGAGTATTACTAAATTGTGGGGTCATCTAACTTGACTAGAATGCTCCTCCAGACACGACACGACACCTGAGACAAACACAAAAGTCACACTAGGAAAAACGACGATGACCAACATCAACAACAACCACGATAACGTTTATTATTTAAAAAACCTCAGAAATTTAAGCCATAAATAAATAAACAAATCTGATTGGTTGGTTGTATAACATCGCAAATCCTCGGGAATTTAAGCCATGAATCAACCAATCAAAAAACTGTCCATTAAGGTTGTCACATCAGTGCATTCATAAATTATGATTTCACAGCTAACAAAGAAGCTTATCCCCCCTAACAATAGCTGGAAGTTGTTGTGTTCTCTGTTTCACGATTCTGCTAGAAAATATTTTCAGTTGGTTACAGGATTTCATCATGAGCTGACATTGGTTAGAGAACCATTGGAAAACCTGGGAGTACTGGACAGCTGCTTCATCCCAGTTTGGGACTCTTCATCAGTACACACTCACCACGAGGGTTCGAAACCAGGACCTTCTGGTTGCAAGGCGAGCTCATAGACCATTAAGCCACTGGGACTCGGTCCAATACTTGAATATCAATGAGAAGCTCACTGGCGACTGGCCCAATTCAGGTAGATAGTTACCTGGGGTTCCAGTGGGAAGTCGTGACCAGTAGAGTGCAGCAGGTCGGGTGTGAGGGCAATTTACTCGCCGAAGACATTGGCTAGCGGTTGTGCTATATCGTGAATTGGCAGAAGTTAGAATTCATGGGCCGTTGGATCGGGTCCCAGTGGTTTAATGGTATACGAGCTCGCCTTGCAACCAGAAGGTCCTGGGTTCGAAACCCATGCGGTGGGTGTGTACTGCTGAAGGGTCCCAATCTAGGGTGAAGCAGCTGTCTTGCAGTACTCCCGGGTTTTCCAATGCTTCTCTAACCAATGTCAGCTCATGATGAAATCCTGTAACCAATCAACCAAATCCCTACAAACCAATTATTATTATTATTATTGTTCCCTTGGGTTCCTAGTGGAACATAGGGCTTCAACTGCACGTCTCCACTTGCTTCTGTCTTCTGCTGTACTTTTCACTTGCGTCCATGTTATTCCATACTGTTTCATCTCCTCCTCACACGATCTCCTCCATGTCACCCTTGGACGTCCCACTCGCCGCTTCCCTTTCGGGTTCCACTCGAGGGCTTGACGCGCGATGTCACTCAACGGCCTCCTCAGCGAGTGTCCAATCCATCTCCACTTTCTCCTGCATATTTGTTGGGCGATTGGTTCCTGTTTCGTTTGTTCCCATAGCTTCTTGTTTGTGATTCTTTCTGGCCATCTAATCTTCAGTATGGAGCGAAGACAGTTGTTGATAAAGGTCTGCAACCTGTTGAAAATATTCTTGGTGACCCGCCAAGTTTCTGATCCGTAAAGCAAAACTGACTTGACGTTTGTATTGAAAATCCGAATTTTGTTGTTGATGGTGAGTGACGAAGATTTCCAGATTGGTTTCAGGTTGATGAATGTGTTTCTCGCCTTCCCGATTCTCGATTTGACATCCTCGTCCGTTCCTCCTGTGGTTGAGACAATGCTCCCCAGATAAGTGAAAGAAGTAACCTCTTTCAAATCCCTCCCGTTGATGGTGATTGGCACTGGATGTTGCTGCTGTTGTTGGTTGGTTATTTTCATAACCTCCGTCTTGTCTATGTTGACCTGGAGTCCTGTCTTTGCTGCTTCTTCGACCAGTTTGTCGGTTTTTGCTTGTAAGTCTTCGATTTTGTGTGACATCAAACATAAATCATCCGCAAAATCCAGGTCTTCTAGGTTCTTCACGTCGGTCCAGGATATCCCTGTCTTCTCGTTTCCCACTGTCTGACGCATAATCCAGTCCACCACAATTAGGAATATCATTGGTGATAATAAGCACCCTTGTCTGACTCCTGTGTTTACTCCAAACGCTTCGCTGAGTTTTCCGTTGTGGATCACTTGACATGTGCCGTTGTCGTACAGTTGTTGAATAAGGTTGATGAATATTTGCGGTACGCCGTAGTACTCGAGTAGTTTCCAAATTACTTCGCGGTCAACGCTGTCGAAGGCCTTCTCAAAGTCTATGAAGTTGAGGTAGAGATTTGATTGCCATTCCATGCTTTGTTCGATGATAATGCGTAGAGTTGCAATTTGGTCAGAACATGATTTGCCTTTCCTGAATCCAGCTTGTTCTGGACGGAGTTCTGTATCCAGTGCGTCCTTGATTCTCTCCAGGATGATGCGACTCAGGATTTTACTTGGCGTCGACAGGAGCATGATTCCTCGCCAGTTCTTGCAGAGTCCCAGGTCGCCCTTCTTTGGTAGTTTCACCAGGTAACCTTTCCTCCAGTCAGTAGGCACCTTTCCCTCTTTCCAGATCTTTTGCAATAATGGAGTCAGCATATCTGCCGTCGTTTCTGGGTCCGCTTTCAGTGCTTCCGGGGGTATTCCATCTGGTCCAGCTGCTTTTCCAGCTTTCAGAAGCTTGATTGCATTCATGACTTCAGTTTTCGTTGGAGGATTGGTGTCCACTTGCAGTTGTGTACGTGCTGTTGTTGGTATTACTGGACGGGTTGTAGGTGGTGGTCGATTCAAGAGTCCTTTGAAGTGGTCCGCCCATTGTTTAATCTGTCTTTCTTCTTTGGTAATTGGGTTCCCTTGGCTGTCTTTTATAGGTTTCACTTGTGTTGATCTCTTCCCGGATAGAGACTTGGTTATCTGATATAGTGTCCTCAGGTCCCTTTTGCCTGCTGCCTTCTCAGCTTCAGTAGCCAGGTTGTCGTAGAATTGTCTTTTGTCCTTCCTGGCACTCTTCTTCACTTCTTTGTCCAGTGCTGTGTAAGTTGAGTTCAGCGTCTCTTTCTCTTGTCCATCTTTGCATTGAATCATTTTTTCTTTCACCTTTCTCCTCTCCTCTATTAGTTTCCAAGTGTCTGTTGAGAGCCATTCCTTGTCTTGTTTCTTCTTTCTTCCTAAAACCGTTGAGCACGTTTCGTTGAAAATTACCTTCAGAGAGTTCCAATGGTCTTCCACGGATGATTCCTTAGTGATGTCACGTAGTGTTTCCTGCTTTGCTCTGACAGTTGCAGTGAAAGTGTCCTTTGTGGTTGTGTCTTTCAGTTTTTCCGTATTGAACTTGCATTGTGGCCTATCCCCAGGTATCCTCGAGGCTTTCAGCTTCACCTTGAATGTCCCTTGTACTAGATAGTGGTCTGAACCCACATCTGCTCCTCTCCTCGATCTTGTGTCCAGTAGGCTCCGTCTCCACTTCCTTGAGATTGAAATGAAGTCTATCTGGTTTTTGGTGTGTCCATCTGGTGAAATCCATGTTGCCTTGTGTATATCCCTGTGTTTGAACACACTGCCACCAATCACCAAATCATTGAAGGCGCAGAAGTCTGAGAAGAGTTCGCCATTTTCGTTCATTTCACCGAGGGCCTCACGACCCATGGTGAGTTCTCTTCCTGTATTGTCTCCTCCCAGTTTCGCATTCATGTCGCCCATCAGGATTTTGATATCGCTCTTTGGGACGTTGTCCATTACTGTTTGTAGTTGACTGTAGAAATCCTCCTTCTTCTCATGTTCTGAGGTGTTTGTAGGCGCGTAGCACTGAATGATTGTGACCTTTTTTCCTTTTGAGTTGAACCTGGCTGTCATTATCCTGGAGGAGATTGGTTCCCACTGCATGAGAGCTTTAGCCGCTGTTGGTGACATCATGATGGCTACTCCCTCGGTGTGCTCGTGATTGTCCTCTGGGTGACCGGAGTAGATTATTGTCTCTCCAGTTGATAGTTGGCTCCTTCCACATCCGTTCCATCTGCTCTCACAGATTCCCAACACTTCTATTTTATATCTCCTCATTTCTGCGGCTACCTGAGCAGCCTTCCCAGCTTCGTACATTGTACGAACATTCCACGTCCCCATCCTTATTTTCGCTTTCATCGAAAGAAGGCACATCGGCTGACTGGCTTCCCGAAGGCTTTCACCAGCCCGCGTCATTTCACTTCCCCGATTCCAGCGAAAAATAAGGTCACTATTTGTAATTTTAGAATTTTGAATATATTTGTGCGTTGAAGTTTTAGTAGCAATTTGGTTAAGTTTTGGGGGTGGAGTTGCTAGCACCACGCCCCAACCCTCCCTCTTTATCCGGGCTTGGGACCGGCTAGAATACTAGTGACCTAGTAATCTAGGCGAGGTTCCTACAAACCAATACTTGAATATTTTCAGTCCTTATTTCAGTATGAGAACCCTATATTACATCATTTAGCACAGAGAACACGAGAACACCAAAATCATCCACCTGAGCTATAAATCCTCTCTATTATGACTCAGTAATTTGTAAAGAAGGGCTGATTAACACTACTGTGTCTATTAGTATGGATGATAATTATATTTCATATAATTTTACATTTTATCTTGTTTCATAGTGCTTTAAATAAAAAAAGAACTCGTCTTATAACAATTTCTGTTTCGTTTTATTTCATTTCCCCATTTTTATACCAGAGAATTCGATTACAAATGTTGTTCTGGATATGAAAAAGTTGAGAAAATATCATACACCTTTAGAGATTTTAAAAAGGGTGAATGTGCTATGCAACTTTCACCGTATGAATTATGCATTAATTTGATAAGTAATCAATGTAAGTTATTGATCGATTTGAATTTGAAGTAAAAGCAAAGTACATTATAATAAATGTATTTTGTATTTCCGAATAAATGATAAACAAAACGATATTGTTGTTTCTAATGATGTTTCACTATTTAATGCTGCTACTAATAACTTTATCAAAGTAGTATTGTTAAACCAGAATTTACAAAAACTCCTCAACTTATATATAACAACTTAATCGTCGTTCCTCAGCATGAGGGCACTTTTGCGTTGTCAAGTTGGCCAGTTGGTAGAGATAGTAAAACCAGATGTAGATTGCTGGATTTGATAAGTATGTAAAATAACAAAGACAGCATGTGTTTATATTATGAAATGGCTTATCACATTCGTGTTGATTTTGTCACTTCATGGGGGAGGCGAGCGTTGTAACCAGGTCAGATTCTGTTTTAGTCCATCATTCCTATTCAGACAATTTGGATTTCACTTGATATGAAGTGCTTCTGATGATATTAGACATTCTTTGTGATTTCTAAAATGCGTTTTCTGGATGATGATTTCAATATTGTCGAAATCAATTTTGTCGCTTGATTCTATAGCGTAGCGTGTAGATGACCTATGGCTAAGGATTTTTCAATCTTTTCTAGTTCCCTAAGTGGATTTCTCGGTGGTTAGTCGAACAGATGTTCTATGGTGTTTATTTCTTCTGATTTTGAGTTCTCGAGATGTTTGTCCGATGTATATTACATCGCATCACATTCCAAGCATTTTATTTTATAGACACAATTAGATAGAGAATCCTTAGGGATTTGGTCTTTTATATGGACAAGGTTGCTTTGCGGTGTGCTTGTCTGATGTTTTGAAGAAAACTCGGATGTCGAGCTGACTGAGTACTCTTCTGATATCGTCGGACATTTCCACTCTATATGGAATGACTACTGTTGAAGCCAAAGTTTTCGGAATACGTTTTCGATCATACTTAATGTCAGTGTTGATTTTGTTGATGAAGTTCTTTGGGTAGTTGTTTTACTTGAGAGTCTCAGTGATGGTTGATAGTTCTTCTTTTTCTTTCTCATCCGTTTTCGTCAAAAAGTGTGGTCGCTTAAGCAAACTTGAAAAAAACTGATACCTTTGTGTTTTGTTTTTCATTCACTGGGAAATACTAGAAAACCTTTATTATAATGAATATCATATACCCAATGCCCAAAACAGCTTTTCAAACTGTTAACAGTGAACTTGGTTTGGACATATATAAAAACAAAATAATTGTCATTCAATTATTCTTTTGTAGGGATTTGATTGATTTGTTACAGGATTTCATCCTGAACTGACATCGGTCAGAGAACTACTGGAAAAGCTGCAAAGAGTGCTGCCAGACAGCTTTTTCGTCAGCGGTGCGCACCCACGTCATAGGATTCGAACCCAGAACCTTCTAGTTACGTGGCTAGAGAGCTCGTAGACCATTAGGCCACTGGAATTCGATCCAGTGGCCCATGAATTGGCAGAAGTTAGAATTCGTGCACTGGCTGGCCATTGGATCGAGTCCCATTGGCTTAATGATCTACGAGTTCGCTTCCCCTGTGACCAGGAGGTTCTGGGTTCGAACCCCTGTGATGGGTGCATACTGGTGAAGAGTCCCAAAGTAGCCCGACGAAACATCCGTCCAGTACTCCTCGGTTATCAAATGATTCTATAACCAATGTTAGCTAATGATGACATCCTGTAACAAAGTTACTGTCAGTTGATTTGATAAGTTAAAATCCTGCATGTAATTGCCTTTATCACTCTCGAAAGGGTTCAGGTTTAATGGGAGGATGGATGTTATGAGTGTAGATGGCTTTGTCCGCCAACATTTCTGTAGTAAGATGCATAGTTTAAGTTCATCTACAGACTTTTTATCAGAAACTGTTCATAAAGACAGTAGTATTATCACTCTGCTTAATATTGTCTAATTATAAATGTACACAACATGCTGTAGTGCTTTGCTATATGATAAGTTTTACCCAGATTTTTATCTCCTTTCATTATTTATTCTTAACTGGTAAAATGCTGCGAGGTGTTTGATATTATTCTCTTGAGTTTCAAGTGGAACATAGAGGTTCAACAGCACATCACCATTTCGACCTGTTCTCTGAGATCCTCTGCACCTGGCACCACGACTGCCCATAGGCTTTCATCTCCACCTCACACGATCTTCTCCATGTCATACTGAGACCTACGTCCAACTCGTTTCCCATTCGGATTCCACTTAGGAGCTAGCTTGGTATACGACATCACTCGACGGTCTCTCCCGCGTATGTCCAATCCATCTCTGCTTTCTTCGGAATATTTCTTGAGCAGCAGGTTCTTGAGTGAGTAGACGCACAGTTAACAGTTTCTAATTGTTTCTGGTCAGCTGTCCATCTAATCCTCAGTATTGAGCCAATGAAGGTAGTTGTTGATAAAAGTTTGTGGTGGACTGTTTGAAATAGTTTTCTTGATACAAGCGCCAAGTTTCTGGCCCATATAGAAGAAGTGACTGTCTTAACATTGGCATTGAAAGTTTGACTACTTTGTCCATACTCTGGTGCAGTGCGACAGGTTTCCAAACTGGATCAGAGTTATGGATGTCTATATTGCCTCTCCTATTCTGGTTCTGATGTTCTAATCCGTACCGCTAGTCTACAGTTGAAAGAAGTGACCTCTTTCAAATTTCTCCCCTTGGTAGTGATTGGTGCTTCTTGTGGTTATTGTTGATTGACTGGTTGTCTTCCTCACCTTCATTTTCTCTATGGTCACCTGAAGTCCTGTTTTCACTGACTGCTTCTTCAGCCAGTTTGTTCGTTTTCGCCTGTAAGTCTTCGAGTTTGTGCGTCGGTGGCAAAGCAGTTAGGACGCTCGCCGACCATGCACATGGTTCAGGGTTCGATCCCCTGCCGACGTACACCACCTGATATCAATTGGTCGGCCTGCGAAATTTGGGCTACCGATATCACACGCTGAAAATTCCATAGTTGTACCAAAAATATTGTTTGGTTTCAAGCTATAATAAAAAAATAAGTAAAATAAATCATCCACACGCGAAATCCAGATCTTCTGAAGTTTTCTTATCGGTCCAAAGTCATACTTTATAATCCTACTTTTGGAAAATGTTCTGAGTAAATTGATTAGAGGCCACTGCTTGTACTGGAATTTCATTATTCAAAAGAATGGATAATGAACAAAGAGTACTCTTTTCGATAACCCCTTCATTAGCAGGCTCTACAGTTATATCTATACATAATAGTGAATGAATGAATTAATGTTATGAACAACATTAATGTTGTTTAAATAACATCGAATCAATAATATTGATAAATTACAGCTGAACAGCATCAACATAAAATAAGCTGAATATCAGAAAAAACATTAGGAAAGATAATAGTACAAATTCATGAATTTTTAGTTTCTACTGAAGGCAGTAGTAGTATCTGGCTGGACTTGTTTCTTTTGAACACAGAGCACTGGTTGTTTGAGGCGAATTGCAATAGCCTCTGCTGTTTGCAGCATGTGGTGCTTCGATGATTTTGGTAATTTATTATGCAGCCGGTAGATGATAGAGAAGGAATCTTCAACGCTGACTGGCTTTGTGGCCGGTTTGCACCAGATGGTCCAATATCGAACTGTTGATGGTGGTTTCAACTACACCTTTACTTAGCCATAGTAAGAGACGTTCTCGAGATGGCACGAAAAATCAAGTTCCTAGAGCAACGGCCGATATAATTCGCTCCACAAGCGCAGTTGAATTGGTAGATACAATTTGAAGTGGCTAGTCTAGGTACTTCATCTTTCAATCGATATAGCACCATCGGTCGTGTAGAAACTAAGACGTGTAGTTCGCCAGCATTAGAAGTTCTTTGAACTGATTTTCTTAATTTCCTCGTAATTATCTCACTTGGTATATCACGCTTAAATTGCAGTAGTGTATAAAGTGGCCTCTTGTTTACAGACAGTGAGTAGTCCTTTTCCACTTTCTTTGTCATGTGTTTCTTGATAAATTTTTCGGGATAGCTATTTTCTATCAAAGTATCATATGCAATGCTTAATTCATCTTCAATTACTTCTTCTGAGCATATAGCTCTAACTAACCCTGTGGCTGAGGGTCTTCACTAAATTTCTTTTGTACTTGATAGGAACGAAGCTGTGAAAATGTGTGTATATTGTCCTGTCCAATTTGTTTTTATGCTACCATCTGATTTTCTTGTAAGTAGGACATCCAGAAAGGCAATTCTGTCTTGGGATTCCTCTTCGCTTGTGAATTTCATAGCCAGCCGAATGTACTTCATTGAATTCAGTAATTATTGTACTCCTATCAGAACAATTATCACAAAGAATCAAGGTATCATCCATATATCGGCAATAAAATGAGAGCTTACTGATAAGGTTGTTCAAAGGTCCATTTTCTAGCTTACTTAGAAAGAAATCAGCCAGAATGGGACCCAATGGGGAGCCCATCGCCATCAGTATTCGTCAAAAGTCGACAGGCAAACGACTAAGTGTCAAGCTGGACATTCATATCAGCGAGATATGATATGAACATGGTAGTTCAGTCAAATATAAATAGCAAGTATCAATTGTTTGAATTATTGATCGTATTTTCGACAGTTGTTAGTCAATTTTAATCAGTTTAACAACCTAACCATCAAAACGTGACATAAGCTGTTATTAAAACAAACATAACTATCTTAATCCCAGTTAGATTTTCATTTTGATTATCTATAGATCTTCTAGATTTATGAAGTATCAGTAGTATTATAAGTAGTATGTTAAGTAACGCTAAAATTTATTCGGTATATCTCTAACTTTTAAGCTGATATACTTTCATCTCATCCAATAAAAATGCAATCAGGTGAAAAATTTTCATTGGTGAATACCTATGGCAACTATCGATTTACCTCTGAGCTCTTCGAAATCTATCTGATAATACTTTCTAGCATGATTGCGAAACGTTCGCCACTATGTATTCATTGATAAACGTTGGATATATTCACAATCAAATATTACTGCATTTGTTATTTTTTTAAATCTTTACTGAGGATGATGTTTACATTTTTTGTTTCTGCTTCTGATTTCAGCTGATATCTCACCATTTGTGGATAAAATGCAATCGATGAGTCAATTTAATACAAAGAATCCTGATAAACCGTATACAATATTTGCACCAAGTACAAGAAATTCGGAGAGATATAAAGAGTAATACTGAGAGAAAGTATTTATTTTGTCTTGATATTCTAAAGAATTTTGAATTTCATGTACATTTCTAAAGATATTTTCACATTTGGCGGGTTAAACATTTTGGTAGAAGTAATTATGACAACCAGGCCTACCGTTCACTGCGGCTGTGTTTTGACATGAAAATAGGATGGAGTTTCCTGGAGTTATGATGGGAAGTTGTAACCAGTGAGGTCCATCCTTCTATCCAAAAGTGAGGATGGATTTCCCGCCGATGATACTGGTTGGAGGTCACGCTAAAATCACGAATTGGTAGAAGTTAGAATTCATGGGCTGACTATTGAGTGGGGTCCCAGTGGCTGAATGATCTACCAGCTTGCTAGCCCTGTAACCGGAAGGATCTGGTTTCGAACCCCAAGGGGTGCGTGCTGACGATGACCCCCAAACTAGGACGAAATAGCTGTTCAGTACTCCCTGATTTTCTCGGAAAACAAATCAAATCCTTATAAATCAACCCTTGAACAACCTTTTGGTAATTACTCCTATTCCCGTCCTTTAACTGATGTTCCTCATCAGTATGAAGAATCTTAAACCTCCAGAAAATCTATCTGATTTCTTAGAAGTTATTGAGCTTCATATCGAATTATAGTTGAAAAGTTACTGCTCCTAAGGTATCGATCGACCCGGGAAATAAGAGAGTGTACGCTAATCAGCATATGTAATCCTCAGATGTAAACCTGAGTGATGCCGTTGTAAACGTGTAAAATGTGAACAAACCTTCCACGAAACTTATAGGCAATATCTTCGGATGAATCTCCATGAATACAAAACTAGAAGATTACAGATACGTCTTGCTGACAGATGAGTGCCAGCGAACACGAAACCTATGTCTAAGGCTTCCCGCCGAATACTCGCAAACATCTAGAATTTCTGCTGGTTACCAAAAACAACCTTGAAACAGACACAGCACACAGAAACTTAGGTTTCATGCTTACTGGCACTCACCAGTCAGCAGAGCATAACTGCAATCTTGAAGGAGCTCATTTCATCGCTCCCTGAAATTCCATCCTGTGTCACCCAATGAATGCTGCAGTCAGAGACGTTATCATTGAGCAGTTCCGGCTCGCGATTGACCTCCTGTAAGAAATGTATTAGATACTTTGATTTGACATGCATCCATTCATGTAATTTTGATTGCTTTCTTGATCGTCATTTATGGTATCAAGCAGATCATATATTGCACTCTGAATAATCTATCACTTATAAGTAATACAGTTCAAGGGAGAGATCTACCACAGTCCCCTTTGAAAATGGAAGGATTCAGATTATGGAATAACCATTTGGTTATCAGGATAACAAGCGATACTGCAAGACGGTGGACACTGGGGAGTGAGAAACTGCTTAAGTGAACCAGCAATGATTTTTAGACTGATCCAACTGATCTAAACGCCAGTCCACCACTTCACTTGTCCATGGTCGAGCTCATCAGCTATACACGCGGCTACGCTAAGCGTAGGAAGCTGAATCACTATAAACCACACAAAAACTTTAAGAATCTTGTTGGTAAAAACTAGTAAATATCTCTCTACTATGTTCGCTAAAAAGTAACTAAGTAAAAATGGGCTGAATATAATCGGAAAGAAACTGTTTTAACGAAATTTAGTCGAAATCTTTAGGAATTACAAGATAAGTCTGTATGTTACTGACTGTCGGTAATTATTGGTTCAGAATCTCTTGAGGATCACTTTAAGATGGGCTATCCTTTCGTATATAGACTGAATGCATTGACATTAATGCTTCGTTTCGTTACCGTTAGCTCACCTCTAAATATATCCCACAACAATGAATGCTACACCTTAAGGTGGTCAGTGATTCATCGTACCAAAATGATTTTTCTGTTATATCAATCAGTCAAGACTTAAAGACCAATCAGTCTACAGACTTTTCCTCTTCGCTTTGTACTCAATTTATGAAATTACGTACTGTTTCGTCGTCATTAAACTGAAAAAGAGTAAATTCAAAGTATTTTAAAAGTGATGTTTCAAAGGTTGATTACTTACCAACCATGCGCATGGTCCATGGTTCGATTTTCGGCCTATGAAGTCTTAAACCTCCCCTAGTTTACCAGCCGGTAGCAAGTCAGAAAAAGAGAGAAGTTTGAGAGTGAAACATTCCCACCCCGAAGAAACAACACCAGTACTGCTAATGAAACCAGCATTTCAGAAAGCATTATTCCATGCGGTCAAGTCAAGTAAGCGAGGGCAACAGTAAGCCTACAAACTGACAGACAGTCGCTCACCTCATAGACAACATCGTTTTCATGAATAACCAATCATATTATGGGTTTTTTTTCACATCTATTTTCACATTAAGCGTTTTTAGTTGATGTGAATGTGCTATTTAGCTGTATCTCTTTGGAGAACTTAATTTCTTAGAGCCAATCGGCCTTCTTAAAACTGACTTCTTGACAAATCAGTGTCAACCGAAACAAAATATTGAAAATCAATAGCTGGCAGGTAGATTTTTCTTCCTAATTTAAGACTTCTTAGCAGTACCAACGTAAAACTTTATTGAGAACTCGCTCTAGGTCTGTCGAGCTTCGATACTGTTGCTGTTCAGTCTCCAGGTTGACATCTAGTGATCCAGGATTGCCACCTATTGTTCATTTGCAGGTTGAATGAAGATGCTTTAGAGTTATATACCCTTTGAAATGACCTGTGCAGACTGATAGATTAGTGCAACTCCCAGTCGCCTCACTGTCTAATAAGTGAATAAGTGCCTTCAGGCTTTTATTCTTAGAGACGCTGTCTCGTAGTAAATAACAATCGTTGCTGTCATATGAAACAACACATTCCACTAATTATTATAACTGTTTCATTCCTTTACGTTCCCAGTGGAATATAGGGTTACTTCAAGCTAGAGGCCTAAAGTTTCGGTAGCAGAAGTGTTTTTACTTTTATAGGATGGGGTTGCTAGCCCCATACCCAACCTTCCCTGTTTACCAGTCTTGTTACCGGCTTAGCGAGGTAAAAGAGTGCGTCCGTGGCCAGGGACTGGACATCGAACCACCTGCTTGGTTAGTGAGCATTCTACCGCCGTACCGTCGACGCCATTCCACCCATTACTTTTCAAATTACAATTCACTATATATACATATTATATTTGGATAAAAATTTGATTACATGCAATACCGCTTTGTTTCCCTCTATTTCTTCATCTTCCCTCTATCTATACAGTTTAACAAATGCTGCAGAACACATTGTTCCTGGTCGATTTTATTTAAAAGATTTGAAAGCTGGACTACAGTTGGAAACTTTAGATCCTAAACGTAAATTATATGTCACACGTGAACATCAAGGGGTAAGTAAAAACTGATTTCCTCTTATTTACAAGATATCGGTTGATGCATTGTTCGAAAGGTAACAGAGTACTCAACGATTCATTTTTTTATCACACACTCTCTCGAATAGATAATTACGCCTGAAAATGAGATTTTTTTAGTTGGAAATGTCTTCTGATCTGGTTATTTGTTGGGTAGAGCTTTTAGGATCATTTTAGCCATTGTTTTCGGTGTAAATTGGTAGTTAGAGCGGGTGGTAGTCATCTCATAATCTCTTTTTAGTAACTATTTTGTCTTAATTCTTAAGCATAACTATGACTTTTTAGCAAAGTTAAACTCTAAGCACCACTAACTACCAATCAGCGAATGACCTCGAACGCACCAATCACGTGAAGGAGGCATTTTTGTGTATGAAATACACATATTTATGAAAAGATGCATAAAACCTGTAGAAAAGTGTTAGAGAAGATACCTTCCTCTCACATGTGATAAAAATCGTCCTCAGTTTCAGGTTGGAGTATCAACAGAGTGTAATTCCATTGTGGGTAAAATTTATTTTGATAGAGCCTCATAGTGTTATGTAGTAATATTTACTGAGCAATAAATTGTACTCGAAACGTGGTCATCAGTAAATATTACTGTATAACACCCTGAGACTTTATCAAAACAAATTTTACCCACAATGGAATTATACTATACTAAAGGTCACAAGTTCTATTCTTATATCAACAGAGTAATTTAACCACATTCTATGCATGTAATTATTTAGGTCTTCTAAACCTAACAATAATCCTAATCTTTCTTAAACCTAATCCTAACGTGTAAATATCCCTAAACTAACTGTAATCTAACTCAAACCAAACCTGATGTTGTCTGCATTAGGTTAACCTAACCCTAACTTGTCCTTTGCCTAAACCGTAACTTAATCTTTCTCAAAAACCTAACCTGAAAATTGCTAGATATCCCATTTAATAGCATAACACTTCGATAAGCATATTTTATTAATGATGACAACATTATCTGCCGGATTTCGCTAACTTGCTCAGTGAGCGTTTCAAGGTCATTGATGCGGTCACACTCCATTGGTAGTTAGTTAGTGGTGCTTAAAGTTTAATTTGGCCGAGTTTTCATATTCTTCCTATCTTATAATTCATTTGCAACTTTATTTGTCTTCTAAGTCTTAACTGCTCTATATGGAATGACAACTGTTGAGGTAAAGGTTTTCGGAATACGTTTTCGACCATATATAATGTCAGTGTTGACTTTGTTGATTGCGTTCTTTGGGTAGTTGTTTTACTTGAGAGTCTCAGTGATGTTTGATATTTCTTCTTCTTTTTCTTTTTCATCCATTATCAAAGAGCGTACTCGTCTAATAATAATTTTATAATTTTTATAACTTTATAATTTATAATTTTACATACTTATCAAATCCAACAATCTACATCTGGTTTTACTATCTCTACCAACTGGCCAACTTGACAACGCAAAAATGACTCCATGCTGAGGAACAATGATTAAGTTGTTATATACAATCTGAGGAGATTCCCCAAATTCTGGTTTAATCATACTACTTTGATAAAGCTGTTAGCAGCAGCAATAAATAGCAAAACGTCATTAGAAACGACATTATCGTTTTGTTTTTCATTCATTCATTGGGAAATACAAGAAAAGCCTTTATTAAAATGAATATCATATACCCAATGCCCAAAAGATTATTTCAAACTGCTAAAAGTGAACTTGGTTTGGACATATATAAATGGTTACTTGTCAGAATATTAAGGATAGCTTTAAGTATCATGTTAACATCAAATTTATTCTGATTATTTACAAGGTGTCCTAATACAAAAAAAACAAATAAACCTTCTTTATCCTTTATTTAACCATGTACAATAATGTTTGAATATCGGATGATGAACATAGTTAATTGTAGGCTAAAAAGGTAACTGAACTATAACTGATAGATACGCATGTGCGTCGGTGGCACAGCGGTTAGGACTCTCGCCGACCATGCACATGGTCCGGGGTTCGATCCCTTGCCGGCGCACACCCAATATCAATGGTCAGCCTGCAATATTTGGGCTACCGATATCACATGCTGAAAATTCCATACCTGTACCAAAAATACTGTGTGGTTTCAAGCTATAATCAAAAAAAAATTCTTGACATTGCTGATGTTAACTAATTATTAGTAACACATTTAACACTTTTAGATTGGTAAATTTCTCTATTGAAATAAAATTTCCATAAGTATATCAGATTGTTCAAAAGGAAGGAAAGTGATGATTATACAATGTTATGCACGCACAAAGCAAGAAGAGTTATACAGACAGCTACAGGTAGCAATGGACAATCGTAATGGGAGACATGAACGCAGAACTGGGACCAGACAACACAGGAAGAGAACTCATTATGGGTAGAGAAGCACTTGGAAAGATGAATGAAAATGGAGAACTATTCGCTGACTTCTGCGCCTTCAATGAACTAGAAATTGGTGGTAGCGTATACAAACATCATTTCAACTATAGGTGGACGGGACTGACGAGGATACCAAGACGAGGAGCGGGAAAGCAAGGCAAGCTTTCATTACTCTCAAGTTTGTAAGGAGGACATCAGCAGCACTTGGTGCCGCGTAAAGAAGGGCCTTTCAAACAACCTTCATCAACAGTTGTCTTCACCCAATACTACTCAAGATCAGGAGGCCGGCCAGAAAATATCAGCAACAGGGATCTCTGGGCACGAACCAACCAGTAACCAACTGTGCAACAAATACGCAGCAAGAGGTGTAGGTGGATTGACTGGTCATACTCTGAGAAAACAAACCATCAAGTGAGTAACATCACACACCAGGCCATCGCTCATGTGAAGCCCGAATGGGAAGTGGCGAGTTAGTCGTCAGTGCGAGGGTGACATGCAGGAGTTCATATGAAAAGCAGATAAAAGCATGTGGGCAGACGTTTAGTCAGGTGGAAATGTAGGCAGAGAACCAAACGCAATAGAGACGTGCGGCTTAAGCCCTATGTTCCTCTAGGAACTAAAGGAGATAATAATAATATCAGATTATAAGTCAATGGCACAGCTGTAGAATGCTCGCCAACCACAGATGTGGTCCGGGATTCGATCCCCGGCCACGAACCCACTACTTTACTTCGCTTAGACAGTAATAAGACAGTTAAACAGGAAAGGTTGGACATGAGGCTAGCAACCCCATCCCATAAAATTAAAAACAATCTTGTTACCGAAAATTCACGCTTCAAGCTTGATGTAGCCTTATGTTCCACTAGGAACGTTCAGGAATTAAAAAGTTAATAAGATTAGAACCATGGACTGGTATGTCATTCAACAATAAGTGCCATTTATAGTTTGGTTAACATTCCCACACGTAGGCAGTGAAGTTGTTCACATAGACATTTTGACTAATGCATGCATAAAACTGCAAAAAGAGCTCTGTAGGACTGAAGAAATCGCTTTTAAACATTCCTTCAATGAGTGTGTCTCAAACGCTATTAGGATACGAGTCATATTCTAAAACAATAAAATATTTGAAATGTATTTTTCCTCTTTAAAAAGAAATCATAACTTCAAATTACTTGTAAAGCACTAATGGCAGCATGAATTCGAATGAGATTTTGAAAATTCATTCTGTTTAAGATATTTGAGTCCTGAGACGATTTCAAAGCAATGACATTAGTCTATCCTAGCAAGGCTGTATACGCAGTTATAGGTGAAATCTATGGCTTCACAATCACTTTTTTCACTTTATTCCATCTTAGCTAAGTCTCCGAGTATTGGATCTCAGGAATTTAGGTGATTTCAAGTTTGGTTATGAGCTGACGTCAGTTAGAGGATCAATGAAAGCCAGGGAGTAATGGATAGCTGTTTTTTCTTAGTTTGCGACTCTTCAAGAGTAAACCCCAGTAGTCCCACTGGGAATCGCACACAGGACCTTCTGCATACAGGATCAATCCATTAGCACTTCAGCCATCGGAATGGAATGCAATGGCCTGTGAATCGGATGGCAGTAATGCTATACACCGTGAAGTGTCAGAATTTAGAATTTATGGTCTATTGGATTCTTTCCCAGTTTCTAAACTGTGAACTTGTTCGCTTCATAACTTGAAGTTCCTGGATGCCACCCCTAATGGAATCATGGAGGCGTACTGATGAAGAATTCCGGAGTGAGACGAAACCACTTGTCCTCCAGTCGATATCAGCCAGTGATTTAACTTATTTTGCAACTAAATCACCTTGAATCGCCATCTTTTCCCTAAAATATTCTTTTCTCTGACTGGCGGATTGACTGAGTTCAGAGGAACATAAACAAGCGTGCAATCTGCGTAACTATCCATTGATAAAATTCAAATTGTGTTGTGCTAATTGCATCTTATCGTTTTTCAAAAATGTCTACTTATATATATATATCTTCCCTTTTCTATAGACTGTTTCAATTGATTGTATAGAAATGGTCGATTCAGACATGGAATGTAATTCAGGCATTATACATACAGTTCGATTTGTGAGTATAACCTGCTTTTGTTTTTGTTTTTCTTGTTGAAATTTGTGAAAACGCTGTGTCTGACTGAAAAATAGACATATATTCAACTGATGAGCCCTATCATAAAACAGGGAATGCATGTCAAAGGTTGCACTACTCTTGATGATATTAGATGGCTGGAGGCAATCGGCCACAGGAAGCCTTGCTTGACATAGGTTTCGTGCCAGTTGGCACTCACTAGTCAGCAAGGCTTATCTGCAACCTTGAAGGAACTCATGCCCCTACTTCTGAGATTCGAACCCGCGTCACCCAGTGAGGGCTGCAGTCAAAGATGTTACCACTGAGCTATTCAGGCTCGCGATTGACCTCCTGTAGGGCTATAGTAAATATTTTGATTTTTTTTTTCCTTCACGTTCCTCAGTGGAACATAGGGATTCAAGCTAGAGTCTTGAAGTTTCTGTAGCAGTGTTTATTTTACCGGATGGGGTTGCTAGCCTCATGCCCAACCTATACTCTTGACCAGCATTATTTCTGGCTTAGCGGGGCATAGGAGTGGGTCGGCCGGGAATCGAACCCCGAACCATGTGCACGGTTGGCGAGCGTACAAACCGCTATACCACCGACGCATGCGAAAGAGGAGGCGGTCTCCACGCGCGGACGGGACTGTCTTATGGCCACCATTCGCAGGCGCTATCCCGCTACTGCACCACGCGGGGACTTTTGCCTGCTGGGTTTCCCCTGGGCCGGTGCACCTCTCCTTAGTCGACCTGGACAACCCGTCCTCCGACAGGTCATCCATATCGGCGCCGTGCTTAGCGTGGACGCCCGATTAACATGAGCACCCATATGCCAGAACTCCCGGGCCCGCGAAATTCCGCACCTTGGCCACCAAGTAGCTAGATTACAGGCGCACGCCACCACGCCTGGACACTAGTAACTAGTGTAATGTGTCCTTTCTTTGGTGCAGACTGAATTCTATCAGTCAGGTTTGTTGCACTACTCTACTAGGCGCATTATTTATTTATTCTTCAGCACGGGGGAGCACTATCTAGTCAGGCTATCGAAAGAAAAAGCGTAAGTGTATTAATAGTTCGACAGAATATCTCATGAACCCAGGATATATCATTCATTAGTTGATTAGTGTAGGCGTCATTCGAAATCAACCAGTTCAATTTGCAATATTTCAACTTGTAACTATGGTTTTCTTAGTTCAACATTAAATGTGATATACACTTGAAAGCCTAGTGGGCTATCAATGCTGTTTCTGACTTGAGATTCCGTTTACTGATATTCGGAAGATGCAAAATACCCCATTTTCAGATAATTATTACTCATTTATAAATTGATTAAAAATGCCCATTAAAAATTTTTCAAAAGAATGGATACTGAACAAAGAGTACTCTTTTCGATAACCCCTTCATCATCAGGCTCTACAGTTATGTATATATATTATAGTAGTGAGTGAATGAATTAGTGTTATGAACAACATTAATGTCGTTGTTTAAATAACATAGAATCAATAATATTGATCGATTACAGTTTAATAGCATCAACATAAAAATAAGCTGAATGTCAGAAAAATTAGGGAAGATAATATTACAAATTCATGAATTTATAGTCTCTACTGAAGGCCATCCAGGGCAGTAGTAGTGACTGGCTGGACTTGCCTCTTTTGAACACAGAGCACTGGTTGTTTGGGGTGAATTACAGTAGCCTCCGGTATTTGCTGCATGAGGTGCTTCAATGATTTTGGTAATTTATTAGGCACCCGGTAGATTACAGAGAAGGATTCTTCAACGCTGGCTGGCTTTGTGGCCGGTTTGCACCATAGATGGTCCAATATCGAACGGTTAATGGTTTTAACTACACCTTTACTTAGCCATAAATTTTCTGTAAAGGAAGAATATTAAACATTATGGGATGAATTCTATTCACTTTTATTTCGTATGATTTAAATCTTTCACAAATGCACTTAGGTTTGTTTCTTTCTAGCGAGTGCCCTCAACCATCTAACACACTTTAGTTTATAATGACAATGAGAAACTCTACATGGTGAAGTGAATAAAATCAATATGATACGAAAAGCACCAACTAATCACCTCCTTTTAAATTTATTTCTTCTAATTCAGTAGTCTACAAAGTTAGTACTTTTAGCAATGAGTTAGTTAGTCTCAGTCAGAAATCCGTCGCTCAAAGAGAAGGAATTGTTGATGTGGATGAAGGCGTTAATCATTTTTGAATAAGTAACTATATGACTGTACTGATAATCATTCTGGAGGGAAGATTCAAGGAAGGTTAAAACTAGAAGCAGTGTGAAGTTTGAGACTATTGATAAGTAATAAAGATGAAAGGTGAACACATCAATTCCACAACATCTCTTTGAAGTTTTTTTCAGAAATAATAAGTTTGTAGGGATTTGACATGTTTTAGGCTTACCCACTGATTGATATCAGTTAGAGAACCCCTGAAAGCCAACAGGGAGTACTGGACAGCTGTTTCGTCCTAGTTTGGAAGCAAGGACAAATACTGGCCATCGATCATATCGACTAGTGCTAGTCGTGCTAAAATCACGAATTGGCAGACGTTAGAATTCGCGGAATAGCCATTGAGTTGGGTTCCAGTGGCTGAGTGGTTCACGAACTCGCCTTGTAACCGGAATATCCTGGGTTCAAACCATGGTGGTGGACACTGACTACTGTTGAGTGCGAAAGAACCAGGACGAAACAGCTGTCCAGTACTCGCAGCTGGTTTTTCAATGGTTCTCTAAGTGATATCAGCTCATAATGAAATCACCCAACCAATAAAACAATAAAATCCCTACAAAACCAATACTTGAAAATTAATCTGATGTTCACTAGCGACTGACCCTATTCAGGCAGTGACCTGGGGTTCTAGTGGGAAGCAGTGACCAGTAAGGTACAGCAGGTTGGAGATGAGGCAGTAACTCATCGAAGAAGACATTGCGAAGTGGTCGCGCTATGTCGTGAATTGGCAGGAGTTGGAATTCATACACTGACTGGCTATTGGATCGGGTACCAGTGGCTTAATGGTCTACGAGCTAGCTCACTGGCTTTGTAACCAGAATGTCCTGTGTTCGAACCCTTGTTGTGGGTGCGTATTGATGGAGAGTCCCAAACTAGGATGAAACGGCTGTCTAGTACTCTCTGCTGGTTTCCAGTGGTTCCCTAACTGATATTAATCAAAGGTCAAACTTGAAATAAGCTGGTTACTTGTTCGTTGTTTATGACATTTCTGCAATTAATAGTGTTCTCTGAGCTGGTTGATTTAGTTGCGAAGCTTTCGTCGTCCTTCTGGACAACATCTTCAGCGCCATATTTAGCACAAAGTGAAATGATTTAAATTTCTTCATGAGTGATATAATTGCGTCTCCCGGTAACCATCTTTACATATGTATTAACCATTTTCTATTGACTTGGATTTTAAACTTTCTGGTCACCTGATTTACTTTTTATTGATTGGTATATTTCGTCTATATTAACGTGCTTGTTAATTGCATTTTCGTTTGAGTACCAGGCTTCTAGGAATTCCCTGACTGCACTTTTAGTGTTTCCTCTGTCTACGATTTTGACATTATCTCAATCAAATTCATGACCATAATTGTCTATATGTATTGATAGTAAAGAATACATATCGTGTATTTTCACGGATGATTTGTGTTCTTGGATTCCAATTCACAGGGGACGCCCACTTTGGCCGATGTGATGCTTGCTGCAGTTCATACAATTTATTTTGTAAATGGTATTAATTTTATCTCCTTTTTCTGTTGGATCTTTTGGTTTGCATAATATCGAATTAAGCGATTTGACTGGTTTGTGTGCTATATCTATATCAAACGGTTTCAGTATTCTAGCTGTTATTTCAGAGATATTTCTCATGTATGGTAGAATGAATTTTCTTGTGGTCTTTGTGCTAAATATAGCGCTGAAGATGTTGTCCAGAAGGGCGACGAAAGCTTCGCAACTAAATCAACCAGCTCAGAGAACACTATTAATTGCAAATCATCCACCTGAACTACAAATTTTCTCTATCATGACATTTCTAGTAAGGAAGTAAGACGGTCTTTCATGATGCAGAACAAAATGATCTTGATTAAAGTTTGAGTACTAGACTGCAATTCACATATATATATATATATATATATAATGTTCAAACAGAATTTCACCGAAATTTTCATTGAATCTTTAGCCTTTAACTAACAGAGAAGGCTTAGACAGATCATCTGTTTTAAGCCTACTGGAATCCCATCCAGAAACTCAATCATTTGCTAAAGATTTATCCGCTGCGCTTAAAAGTAATCTGAGGAATGTGAATTCTGGAAAACGTTATACTGTAATTGTACCAAGTCGACAAAAATGGGAATCATTACGTCAAAAGTATTCAGGAGAACAAATACAAAAGGTAATTCGCGTTTTATCTGTTATTTGTGTCCAAACCAAGTTCACTTTTAACAGTTTGATATGATATTCATTATAATAAAGGCTTTTCTTGTATTTCTCAATGAATGAATGAAAAAGACAAAACGATATTGTTGTTTTTAATGTCGTTTCGCTACTTAATGCTGCTGCTAATAGCTTTATCAAAGTAGTATTATTAAACCAGAATTTTAGGAATTCTTAAAAAGACGACTGCAGCGAAGAAAGTTTTCTTTTCAACGAAGTCATCAACTAGGAGGCTGTACATTCGTGTACTGATTTATATTGCATGTGTGAGAAAGTTCCAGAATTATTCCCGGTCAGAGGTCAGATTAATAAGATTACTAAGTGTAATAAACAGAAGATAGGTAGGTAGTGGCACTATTCTAGAAATATTTCAAGCCAAAGGTCAAACTAAAATTACACTGTGTAATAATCAGGAAGATTGGGTAGAAAAGACAAAATAGGATTATAATTACTAGAAAACTAGTCAGTTTGTATAATTACGGGTTAAGGATGTAGCATTAACGAAATGGGTAGGAGGTTCGGACATATAAAAATGAAAACAGTAACCAGACCAGATAGGGATTTAAAAGCGTAAATATAACAAATAAATGGGAAAGTTGGACAAGAAAAGTAAAAGGATAATCATTATTGGTGAGACTGACTTTTTATGATGGCCACGGTAGGAACAACGGTTGGAAGTATTTCTTTTGGATACATAAAATAGGCTTGAGCTTTCGGATCTCAAGTGCCTCAGCTATTCCTAGATGTCTTGATTTCACTCCCTTTGGTAGGTTGGATCGGATCTTAAATATGGCTTTGAAGGACTTTTCAAACGGGGCTGAATGTCCAGAATTTACCAGATGCTCTGTTATTGAACTGTGTACCCCTTTGCTGTCTCCCTTTGCTAACCATGCTGGATAGTGTTCCCGAGCGCGGTTTACAAGCGGATGCATGGTACAGCCAATGTACTCAGCTCCACACGAGCAAGTTAACTTGTATATGCATGTTGAAGTGGCCCAATGCGACAGCTTTTCTTTCACGTGTTGGGTGAGTAGTTTCTTGCAGGCTAGCGGCAGAGTATGTTTTACTGAGAGACTTCGAAAGCCATCTACGGGGAATTTCTGCTTCGGTATTATTTTTAAATTCGAGGTTCAATGTCAGCATCTTTTTGGGATCGACTTGGACCTTTTCAGGTGTTTTCCTTGGTTTCAGATTCTTGTCTATGAATCTGAGTGGGAATCCATTTTCTATCAAGGTCCCTTGGAGATTTTGTATTTCTTCATCGATCGACTCCTCAGTGCAAATCTTCTGGATCCTAGAGGAAAGAGAGTATATTAGGTTTCTCTTTCCGCTTAGAGGCACACAGCTTTGAAAGTTAATAAACTATGGGCCTTCTGTAGATGAATCTTCTTAGCGAGTTGTCTGCATTTCTTTGTAGTTGGACGTCAAGGAAATGAAACACTGAGTTAGACTCAACTTCCAGGGTGAAGTCGATGTTTGGGTGGGCGTTATTCCGTCATTACGTAAATACACGCTGCTTTTATAATTTTACACACTGATCAAATCCAACAATATACACCTGGTTTTGTTATCTTTACCAATTGGACAACTTGACAACGCAAAAATGACCCCATACTGAGGAACGATATATAAGCTGAGGAGATTTTGTAAATTCTGGTTTAATAATACTACTTTGATAAAGCTATTAGCAGCAGCATTAAATAGCGAAACATCATTAGAAACAACAGTATTGTTTTGTTTTTCATTCATTCATTGGGAAATACAAGAAAACCTTTATTATAATCATTTTATTTGTTTCTACAGTGATTTTTCCAACAAAAGTTGATGTTAATTTCTTCATCGAAGAGTCTGTCATGAAAGATGAACTGAAAAACGTAATGGTACACTGCGGATATGCGACTGTGTAGCCTAATTGACAATTTTTATAAGGGTTCGATGCACTAATCTCATCAGTGAGTCTAAAATCAAAATCTTAACGTACTTACTTCAGCCTAGGGTGTCTTGGTAGTACCTTCCGCCCACATTTAACACGTATAGCTAAGAGTTTACCTGGTACATGGAATATCTATGCCAGGGAACTAGACTGTACTGCGAATAACTTATTTTATGAATGTTTTCCCTCTGCATTTAGTCTGAAGAAGTCATACACTTATAGCATAGAGGAAGATGTAACGACCGTTTATTTTGTAGATTCTGAAACGTGTTAGCATATTAATACCGTTATCCAATTGTGGAGATATTCATTTGACTTCTAAATCGACCACCACCTGCAAGGCGCCCAACAATACCAACGACGGAGACAGAGCTACCAGTGAACAGCGACCCCCTAGCGAAATCAGAAGTCCTGGAGGCAATCAAGATGCTAAAAGCTGGAAAAGCAGCAGGACCAGATGGAATCCCAGCAGAGGCATTGAAAATTGATACAGAGACAACAGCAGACTTGATGACGCCACTCCTGGAGAAGGTGTGGAAAGAAGGTAAAGTAACCGTGGATTGGAAGAAAGGATACTTTTTCAAACTACCAAAGAAAGGAGACCTAAGTCAATGCAAGAACTGGTGCGGAATTATGCTCCTGTCCATCCCAAGCAAAATACTAAGCTGCATCATCCTTGGAGAATGAAACATGCCCTGGATGAAAAACTCCGACCGGAACAGGCTGGATTCAGGAGAAACAAGTCATGTACTGATTAAATTGCCACACTGCGGATCATGATTGAACAGAGCTTGGAATGGCACTCACCTCTCTGTCTCAACTTCATAGACCTTGAAAAGGCCTTCAGCAGACAGTGTCGATTGAGAGGTGATTTGACAACTAATTCGCTACTAAGGGGTGCCACCGACAATTATACACCTCATCCAACAGTTGTACGACAATGCCGCATGCCAAGTAATCCACAACGAGAAACTCAAGGAATCCTTCGAAGTGAGGACAGGAGTAAGACAAGCTGGCTGCCTACTATCGCCAACGATTCTCCTGATTGCAGTAGATTGGATAATGCGACAGACGGCGGGCAATGAGGAGACAGGTATAAAATTGACCCTCACGAAAAACTTGGAGGATCTGGACTTCGCCGATGATATATGTCTGATTTTCCACAAACTGGAGGATATGCAAGCGAAAAGCAACAATTTGGCAGAAGAAGCATCCAGAGAAGATAGGACTTCAGGTGAACATAGAGAAGACAACGGTGATGAAGATTATTGGGCAACACCAACAGCAGCAACAACAACAGGCAAAAATCAGTATAAATGGGAGGAACCTGAAAGAAACAACTTATTTTACCTACCGACCTGAGAAGCATCGTTTCAACTACAGACGGACGGAACTGATGAGGGCATCAAAGGGAGGATCGGGAAAGCAAGGCAAGCTTTCATTACTCTCAAGTCTGTGTGGAGGAGATCAACAGCACTCAACATCAAAAATAAGATCCGGATTTTCAACTCCAATGTGAAGTCAGTGCTACTAAACGGATCAAAGACTTGACGCGTCACGAAGAGCACTTCAAACAAACTACAGACCTTCATCAACAGCTGTCTTCGCTCAATACTCAAGATCAGGTGGCAGGAAATGATCAGCAATAGGGATCTCTGGGAGCGAACCAACCTAGAAGGAAAGAATTGTGCAACAAATATGCAGGAAGAAATGGAGGTGGATTGGCCATACTCTGAGAAAACAAACCATCAAGTGACATCCATCACATGCCAGGCCATCGCTCAAGTGGAAGCCGAATAGGAGGCGGCGAGTTAGTTGGTCGTCAGTGCGAGGTTGACATGGAGGAGGTCATGTGAAGAGAAGATGATAGTATGTAGGCAGACATGTAGTCAGATGAAAATGTCGGCAGAGAACCGAACGCAATGGAGAAGTGCGGTTCAATCCCTATGTTCCCCTAGGAATTAAAGGAGATAATAATAATAAAAATCTCTTTCATGCAGAGCCTTTATAAATACAAATGTAACTGTCTACATTCTTTTAATAATATCTTGTTGTTTTAATTCCACCCTACCCCCCCCCCTTCATAGATTGCAGCGAATCATGTTATCTTAGGTCAGCATTGTTCTGGACATTTAATTCAGTCGCTTCAAAGTTATAAAACCCTGTCAGGTGAAACACTTGAATTTATCTGTGAAACAGATTCGTCGGGTAAAGAACACCATTATGTACAAACTGTTTGTGGTGAAAGACGCGAGATAACTACTTCGGATTTAGCAGCTACAAATGGAGTCGTGCACATTGTTGAAGATGCATTAATTCCATTCTCAGGTGAGTTTAAATCTAACTGTCATTACAGACAGAGATGATATTTCAAAATATTTAATATTCCCATTGTAAAATTTAGAACAACACACATTTAGCGAACAGTGATATTGTGGTTCCAATTAGATCTCATCAAGGTTAACTCTAATATACATAAGTTTACAAATAAAAAATGCAAATATAAACCAATCATGGTGTTTTGTCTATAGGATAATAAGATGGTGAATATAAATTGTGCAATTAGTCATAATAATAGTAATGATAATAATGATAATGGTTTTATCAATAATAAGGATGAAAAAGTGAGGCGATCTGTGATAACACGAATAACGAAAAACAGCATGATTAAACAAACAAATGTTCAGGTAGATAGTAGTCGATAAAGGCTAATGCAAACAAATGAACCGATTAAGTAATGCTAGATTGTAAGGGAAGTAAATGAAACACGTTTATAATGAAGATGTGATAAGATTAAGGGATGATAAGAGAGGGATTGAAAATATAAGTAAGGGAGGAATAATGTCTGTACGAACTTCTTTTGAATGCATAATTTAGTTTCAATAGTTCGAATTCCTATCGCATGCCTCAGCTGTGTGCAGTAAACGAATGCGAAGTCTATTCTAAAGATTTGCTGGGATACGACGAATTACTATGAAAGCTCTCGTTTTCTCCACTACATGACCATTATCAATTAAATGTGACAAATTTGAGCTACGGATTGTTTTTGTCTGTCCTTTGCCAAACCACAATGGGAGATGTTCACTAGTGACACGTAGGCTAAGCTATCTAGTAGTACGCCAATAACATAACTGTCACCACAAGTGCAGTAGAATTGATAAATGCACACAGATGGCTACACTATCTAGCTTATCCTTCGTTTGCGTCCTAATCATTCTTCGGCTAGAGAATGACAAACATATGTATGCTACGTAAAACGTTCTTCGTATACTCCTGGAAAGTCTCTGGAATAAAATCTCATTTGATAAGTCACCATTAAACTGTAACTTAATAAATAGAGGTTTTTTACGTGCAGTCATCCTCTCAGGTTTTCTCTCTAATGTTTCTTTATGAAACTACTCGGAATCATGAATATATATTAAATTCCTTTTGTAAGAGGTCATCCGTACATATCTTTCTTGCTCTGCTCGTAAGACATTTAACAACATTTCTTTTATATTTAATGGGTACATAATTAAGGAAGTGTGTGTATTGCCCTGTGAATGTGCTTTTTCTATACACGCTTCTCCCAAGTGACCCATCTTCTCGCCTACTTAGCAAGACATCCAAAAAATGTAGTTTATTATCCTGCTCCTCTTCACAAGTAAAGGTAAGCGAAAGGTGGACGTTGTTGAATTTCATCAACAATTCGTCTATGTTTACATTCCCATCAGCTAACATAAATGATCACATATGGTAATACATATCAAACTCCTTGATGATGTCCTTCAATTTCCCGTTTTCAGGTTTTGCGAGGAAGAAGTCAGCTAATATTGGACCTAATGGTGAACCCATAGCTATTCCATCTACTTGTTGGTAGTATGAATTATTGAAGGCAAAGTGCACATTCATTGTGCATTTAAGAAGTAATTCTTTGAGGTTGCACAAGGGAATTCCTAAGCCCAACTGCCTGTCGATGATACATTCGTGAATAGTGATGATACATCCATGGATAACATGCGTTTACCCTTCACATCAGTGTCGGAGATTTTAGGAAAACATACAGATGATATTGTATGAGGGTAAATAACCTGGTAGGGAATACCAATCATATCTGTAAAAATTAGATTTATAAAATCTCAGCGAATTCCAACGAATTCCAACGTTTCCTACGTTGGGCAAACTCGTCAGAACTTCTTCACAGGAAATTAATCGAAATTCAAAAATAACAGAGGTTTATATATAAAAAGGATATCTCTTGTTTTTAAAAACTTTTCCCAATCATATGAGTCATGAAACAGGCATCAACATGTATAATAAACAAAACTGTATGAGCTGTGATCAAAATTTGACCTCAGACTTTCAAATATTATTAGTCTACTTTTGTTAAACCCTTTAAACAGTGGTGATGTACTACAGTGGAATCCAGGATGCACATTTCGTTTATTGACTCGTCATCTGGATGTCACAGAATGTACTTTACATCAGAATTTTAGTGATTACGTTCAACTGAAAGTTCATGGTCGTAGATAACTGAATATGAAAATATATGTGTATATGCAGTATACAATGGTGTGTGTGTGTGTGAGTAAACAGTCATAAAACATTTGTTAGCCTCTCCATAAGAAGATACAGACAATCGGGAATTTTGACCAAGTGTGATTAATTAGTGATACATATCCATTTTTATTTATTAATCAGGATTTGCCATGCATCAGCTAACATCACACCTTCACGTCTGTTCAAACTGTTGGGATTCACCCATATATGTAGGGCCTCTGCAGTCAGTGTTTCTTTATACGAACCAAAATCTTTCTGCAGAACCTTACTCTTATCAAAGTCGATTTTGTGTCCCGTTTCTATCGAATGCAGTGCAATCAGCGATCTGTTTTCTAGCTTCTTCATGTCTGCAGAGGTTTTGGAACCACTTTTAGACATTGTTTATGCTCTTTCACTCTTATATTTACCTATCTGGAAGTTTCTCCTACATATACGACGTCACAGTCCCCACAATTGATCTGGTACACACAATTCTGTTGGTTTTCTTCTATTTTATCCTTAACCTTCACCAGTGATCACCGTAAGGTATTAGTTGCACGAAAAACACTCTTATGTCATGGTTGTTAAAGATTCGCTTTATCTCATCCGATGTTTCTTTGCGGTAAGGAATCACCGCTGTACTAACCAATTTTAGTTCCTTGCTAATCTCTTCCTCCTCAGTAACTAGACGTTTGCCTCTGTTAATCAGATTCTTGGCCACAGTTACTTTGGTGGTAAAGGGGTGTGCTGAATAGTAGTCTAGGTATCTGTCCGAATTTGTCGGCTTTCTGAAAATGTTTATTTTAAATTTACCATCTGGTTTTCTATTTACTAAACAGTCCATGAACTTTTAGTCGAACGTAATCCCTTCAAAATTCTGATGTAAAGTACACTTTGTTTAAAGTGTTTAACAAAAGTAGACTAATATTTGAAAGTCTGAGGTCAAATTTTGATCACAGCTCATACAATTTTGTTTATTATACATGTTGATGCCTGTTTAATGACTCATAAGACTGGGAAAAGTTTTTAAAAACAAGAAATGTCCTTTCTATACAAAATACCTCTATTATTTTTGAATTTCGATTAATTTCCCTGAAGAAGTTCTGATGAGTTTTCCCAACGTAGAAAACGTTGGAATTACTGATTTCAATTTCACTGAGATTTTACAAATGTCTACTTCTCCCTCGGCGCCCAATTGTATTTTGGAACTATTCGGTCAAATCTCGATCACAGTTCATATGAACCATATCTGTGCTAAGCATGTGCCAGCGAATCGTCCAATCATATTAAAGGAAGGAGAATCAACCAATCAGAAGGCAAGTAATGTACGATCTCATTACTCGTAGGAGTTAACTGCCTTAAAAGTAGTCATCAGGGGAAAAATGTATCTTTAAGCTTTTACAGTCCTCAGATAATGTCGTGAAGTGGCAGAAGTTGGAATTCACTCATCACTGGATCGGGTCCAGTGGCTTAATGGTCCACGACCGCGCTAGCCTTGTAACCAGGACGTCCTGGGTTCGAACCCTGGTGTTGGGTGCGTACTGATGAAGAGTCCCATACTAGGCTGATGAAATAGCTTTCCAGTACTCCCAAGTTTTCCAGTGGTTCTCTAACTGATGTCAGTTCATGATGAAATCCTCCATCCAATCAAACAATATTCCCTACAAAACCAATACTTGAAAATTAATCCTTTTTCAATTTTATTTTTCTTACAGTTTTGAAATTACAAGAATTAATTCAAAATAAAGGCTGTGCTGAAAAGTTAAAAGTCACAGATTTTATCAATTTACTAAAAGAATGTGATTTAAGAATTGAACCAGGACAAAAGTATGCTTTGGTTCTGCCTCAAGATAGTTCATTCAAATGTAAGTAATATATGTATATATATGTGCATATTTTAAAACTTATTTCGAGTTGTTACATCTATAAATTTATCGATTGAATACTGGGAATTCATTAAGTGATCTAGGGAACTGAAGTCTCTTTCAAACTCTGAGATAATGGTCGTTCTGTGGAACTTCTTTTAAAATGTTGTGACCAGCGGCATAATATTTTTTTCCTCTCTGATAACGTCTACTTACCACTCGCACACGCGACGACAACATTTCTCTTGTTCCCTTGGGTTCCGAGTGAAACATATGGCTTAAACAGCACATCTCCACTTTTTCATATTCTCTGCCATCCTCATCATCTGGTCTAATTGTAACAACACAAGACAAGGGCCAGGTAACAGATCGTTTATTAAGGAAATCAAAGCATATTTATATATTTTCATGTACATTATTATAGATTAGTTAAGCAAACAAACATAGTCTTCTGATTGGTTGTTTCTCACTTAAAGTTAATCTTTCATCTCTTTGTGACTGTTTCTTGACTGTCAGATCATCTATATGTTAACTGTATCCACCTACGCAAAGTCTGCTGTGGTCGGTTTTGAATCAGTCTTTGTTCATATTTTCTCACGACAAATCTTGAGAACGTAAACATTGACGTAAATTACTGTCTACCAATTTGGCTAGTAGACAGCTCTCACCACATAATGACTACCCATAGTCTGTCACCTTCGCCTCACACAATCTACTGTATGTCATCTAACTCGTTGTTTCTCATTCACGTTCCACTCGACAGCTTGAAGACAGACTTCACTCAGTGGTACCAGAGTGTGTCCAATACGTCTCCATTTTCCTCCACATACCTGTTGAGCAATAAGTTCTTGACAGGTTAGCCCTCAGAGTTTATTGTTGCTAATTCTTTATGGACGAACATTTAATCTTCATTATGGAACGACTGAAGGCATCTGTTGATAAAAGTCTGTAGTAATCTGTTGATAATGCTTCACTTGACGCGCCAGCCATGTTTCTGACCCACATGAAAGAACTGATTGACTGACTGACTTAACATTGATGTAGAAAATCCAAATCTTGTTGTTTATGCTGTGGTGGAGTGCAGAAGATTTCCATGCTGAATTCAGATTAGTGAAGGTTGGCCTTGCCTTTCTGCTTCTGTCTTTGACATCCTCATCTGTGTCCACATGTAGATGAAACAAGGCTACCTAGCCAGATCAATGAAGGAAGTGACCTCCCTGAAATTCCTTCCAGTGATAGTGATTGGAGCTTGTTGTGGATATTGTTGTAAAGGATCCTGTAGAGCCTTTAAGACAAAACAATTTAGTTTATCTAATACCCTGCTGCAATGATTGTCAGGTCAAATACATAGGTCAAACTAGTAGAACAGGGGCAGTCAGAATAGCCGAACATAAAAACCTAGCAAAATCTAGATTAGTTGATCAGAATAAGATAAGAAATCTAGAGAATAGTTCAGCTATAGCACTCACCACATGCAGTTACACACAACCATACAATAGGATGGGATAGGATGACAGTTTTAAAATCTAATGTAACGGCAAGGTGGAGGGAGAGATTTATAACAGAAGGTTTTTTTATCGAATCAACTGCAAATACGTGTAATAGGAATGATTCAACACCTGTCCATTTGGATATCTGGAAAATTCTACTACCCCTACGACGACAAACAGGAGAGAACAAAGAAAACTATAAAACTCAAGTTTCGAAGTCGTGTGATTACAATTGATATGATTATGAACAATAAATTTTGTTCGAAACCTTGTCATTCAGTAAATAATACTGTTTCACTGTGTGATACATCTAATAAACAAACTAATATGGAATTACTTACTACCACAGTGCCCAAGTTTTACACATATATTGTTGTAAACTTGTTGTCTTCATCACCTCTGTCTTCTCTATGTTCACTTGAAGTCCTGTCTTTGCTGCTTGCTTCTTCTTCCAACTTGTCCGTCTTCGTCTGTAAACCTTTGAATTTATGTGACACGTGTAAATTGTCTGCAAAATCCAGATCTTCTAGAGTCTTCTCACCAGTTCAACGTATTTCTGTCGAAAGAGAACTAAACGTGATGATGACGTTTCCTGATAGAAGACAACTGTCTCGTCGAAGATTTCATCAGTCGCATTCTATTTATCTATACGTTTATGTTCAGCAGTCTCACAAGGGATCTGTTGCAAATTTGTTTGACTAATGTCATAATAATCCAAATCTCTGAGGGAACTTTAGTTGGTCCAATGTTGCAAACCAGACTTTTCATTTGTCCCAAATGAAGCCTGACAATAATCTTAAAATCAATTCCCAACATCTGTATACATTTAGTAGACAAAATACTACCACTCATAGTTATTGATTTTTCCGAATCACAACTTCCATTTTCATTAACAAATGATCTCGACTTACTAATTACTAACTGGCATCAATAAGAGTATAATTGAAAACCTGAGGGCAATGGAGAGCTGTTCCGTTATAGTTCTGGAACCTTCACCATAACGTACTCATGATTCCATAGCAGACTGAACTCAGGATCTTCAAGTTACAAGTGATTCCATATTAGTTTGTTTATTAGATGTACCACACAGTGAAACAGTATTATTTACTGGATGACGTTTCGAACAAAATTTATTGTTCATAATCAGATCATCAATTATAATCACACGACTTCGAAACTTGAGTTTTATAGTTTTCTTTGTTCTCTCCTATTTGTCATCGTTGGGGTAGTAGAATTTTCCAGATATCAGAGATAGGTGATGAAATCATTCCTATTACACGTATTTGCAATTGATTCGATAAACAAAGCTTCTGTTATCAATCTCTCCCTCCACCCTGCTGTTACATTAGATTTTAAAACTGTCATCTTATCCCATCCTATTGTATGGTTGTGTGTAATTGCATGTGGTAAATGCTATAGCTGAACTATTCTCTAGATTTCTTATCTTATTCGGGTCAACCAATCTAGATTTTGCTGCTAGGTTTTTATGCTCGGCTAGTCTGACTGCCCCTGTTCTACTAGTTTGACCTATGTATTTGACCTGACAATCAGGATCCTTTAACCGACAAAGCTTGTTTCTAATTGAGTTTGTGGTTTTGAATGCCAACCACTTTTATTCCTGCCTTGTTAAGAATTCCGCGTAAGGTTTCCGAGGTTCCTTCCTTGTATGGAATTACTACTGGTGATTTAGATTCCTTATTGTTGGTGTTGTCATTATCTTGCGCATGTTTGACATGCATGTCGTCATTAATATTACTATTATTATTGTCACTATCACTACTATCATTATTTATTTTATTTTACTTTTATATTTCCCTACATACTTCCTAACTAATTTATCAGGGTAATTATTAAGTTCCAAAGCTTCTCTTATATGTCTCACTTCCTGTCTTAGATTTTCCTTGGTACTACTTAGTTTTTGTGCTCTGTCATTTAAACATTACATCAATCCTATTTTCACTGACATAGGATGGGATGATCGGAAGTCCAAATATCTGTTTGAATGTGTGGGTTTCCTGTAAACACTAGTGTTTAACTTCCCATCTTCCTTCCTTTTTACGCTACAATCTAATATTGGAAGTTCCCTTTCCTGACTTTCCAATTCATCATAAGTGAATTGAATTGCCTCCACCTTTGAGTTAATGTGTTCGAAAAATCTATCTATATCCTGTGTTCTAAGTACGGTGAATGTGTCATCTACATACCTCCACCATACTTTTGGGATGGGGCTGAACGTTTCAATCGCTATGTTTTCCCACCTATCCATGAATATATCTGCCACAACCGGGGATATTGGTGATCCCATGGCAACTCCTTCAGTTTGTTTGTATATTTTCCCTTGGAAATTACTAACTACCACAGTGCCCAAGTTTTACACATATATTAATAAGTTACAAGTGAGCCTTCTGACCATCCAGCCACTGGGATTGGATCCAATCAGATCGTGATGCATAGTGACAACATCAGCTATTATCATAGATTTCTATCTGCCCCTACTCCTGATAAGGTAGACTCCACCGATTATGACTTTCTACAGAACTCCATCCTGTAATCAGGAATTGATGAGCAGCCTTGATGTGTGTATCCAAATTCTTTAGGCAAATAAACTTACGCATCATCCTCAGCATTACATAATTACTATTCGTTACAATATGATTTATTTCAAATGTTATTTCTTTCAAAATAATCAATTAAAATGTACACTTCTTTGCTTATTTATTAAACTATAGGGTGGTCAAATTATCCACAATTTCAAGATGAATATAAACGTTTTCAAGTTGATAAAGAATATCGTTGTAAAGTGGCACGATATCATATTATGAGGAGTAATAATCGTTTAAACAATATAGGCAGTTTTGCTAGTCATACTTTGGGTCATCGTACAAATAATCCAAATGAACCATTATATGAAACGACATATTTTAAAAAATCACCTTATGGATCACAGGTAATAAATTCATTATTATCATCTTATTATTATGAATTCAATGTATGTTCAGTGTTTTATAGTTTAATTTTGTTTAACTTCTTTAGTTTGTACACATTTTGAAATGCGCGCCATTACCGCGGAAATTAAATGCTGTTCGATAAAATACTAAGTGACAGTGAAATAACCAGTAACTATCTCTCTCTGAAGATAATTTCTGTTTATTCTCATTATCTGATAGTGAATTTTCACTCAAAAACATATTTTAACACGCAAAACATCCAAGATGATCACGGATGATCCGATATGTTACGGGTCACAGTAGGATTCACATCAGAGGCCACTACATCAGTTCTTCAGCATTCTGTGAACTGAAAAATCTGAACTAGCTGTTAGCTATGTCTTTAGCTTCCCTGAGATCTCCACTGGCGTTGTTTAGGTGTCACGAAATTAAATCTAACTTCACTGTAAGTTGATAGACTGTCATGGTTCAGCTGCTGCAGCCACCCGGGTTCTTATCTCACCAACAGTCATCGATTTGAATAAAGGTAGAACGATAGTTTGTGCAGAATAAGATGGCACCATTATTTGTTTAGTCGGACTCTCATCGGCTGTGTAAAACCTTAAAGAAATTATTATGTTTATGTATAGGACAATTTTAACAAAGCGCCAAATTTTACGTAATTTCAGTTGACACGAAACTCAATACTTAGCACACAGTGCTTAGAAATAACAGTTACATAGTTTATACCCACAGAGTCCAAGTTAAAAGAAAAGTTAAGTCTTCGGTACAGGGGCGAAAAAGTTACGTAATAAAGCCAAGGGGTGAATAAAGTGATGAATAACTAATAAAGTGGGGAACAATTTGGTAAATTTAACTCAAATCATAGATAAAAGAGACAAGCAAAGTTACAATTTATACAGTGGAGGAGAGTTTGAAGCCAAAGGTTGCGTAGTCAAATGAAGGAGAGAACAAGAGTATTGAGTTGTCAGGGCAAGGGAAGTTAGATAACTGCTTCTTTCTAAAAGCATACAATTCGAGTTACAAGTTACAAGGTAGGCTCGTAGACCATTCAGTCACTGGGACCAACTCAATAGACTGTCTCTAAGTTCTAACTTCTACCAATTTGTAATTCCAAATTCATAGCCAGTCAGTGCCATAGGCTGGTGAGAGTTAGAATTCATGGGTCAATGAGTCAGGTCAGTGGGTATGTGCTTGGTCTATGTGCCTTCCTTGTAACCCGAAGATCTTCGGTTCGAACCCTAGTGGTGGGTGCGTGCTGTAGATGGGCCTCAAACTGGGACGAAATGGGTGTTCAGTAGTCGCTACTGGTTTCCAAGATTTCTCTAAATGACATTAGTCCTTCGAAGATTTTCAATTAGGTCAGTTCTTTAGATACAGGATGTGTTAAGTACATTGCCTGGAGTATGATTTAGCATAATTACTTCAAAATAATATCTCAGCTTTCGATTTCTTATCGTTAGGCACTACTTTCAGGGGTGGGGGGAACACTTACTAGATCAAATCAAATACCTTAAGACCAAACGCCATAGAAAGCATTTTGAATTTTAGACACTAATATCAAGAAAATGGGCAAAGTTCAACAATAGCACCCAAAGGGATGCGAACGCACAAGTGACCTTGAGCTAACCAATAAGAAAAGTGAGAAATTTTTGCACGAAGTAAATGACGTATATTCACAAAAAAATGCATGAAAACACATTAAACAGGGTATCTTTCTCTGACATGATTCAAAAATACGTCCCCAGTTATAATGAGGAGTGTCAGCTGCTAAGTTAGACTAGTTTATGTACATGTGTTCACCGAGGTGACTACAGATGAGCTATTTTTGTGAATCATTTATCTCTCTTATCCTGTTGTGCGGTCTTCCCACAAAGCCTTCGGTTGAATTACTATGGTTTGCAGTAAGAGGATCGACAACTACTTACCAGGAAAATGTGGATAATAAAACAAATAAAAATAAATGGCATGAACTCTTAATCTATCCCTAATCGTAACCCTAACCTTAATCCTGACCCTAATAACTAACCTGATCCTAACCCTAATGAGCTATTAACACATTGTCCAGACAGTACTTAAAAACGTGATCTGGGTGAAATTTGCATCTTAGTTAGTGAATAGCATTGATATTTCAGATATGATAATGACAGGTGCCGTTAGCCAACTACTAGCATGCGTTCAAGGTCACTGGAGCCTTCGCACTCCTGGGACGCTATTGTTGAACTTCGCTGGAGAAGAGATTACTCAGCTATGTTTCAAGTAACCAAAATGAATATGGCAGCTACCACCAGACACTTCGATGTATCGTCAGTCTGAAGACTAGAAACAGTTAGCGTTTGCATAGAAAGAGTATTTCTTAAATGCCTATACTAAAGCTGACAAAGGATTTAATCTCCATTCAGTTTAATTGAATTTCGCGTCTGTCATTGTCTAATGTTGGCTCCTAGTAAGGACATTTCGAGGTTTTTATTAGATAAACTTGATGTTAGTTGGTTGGAGTTGACTGACAGCTGAACACAGGATAGGCGCTTTGTCCCATTCACAACTCATCAGTTGCATCCCACTGATTAATAGTATTCGTAATGAGTTTCGAAAATAACACTCAAAATAAATCATGATTATCTCAAGATATTACTGCAGCACCTTTTCTGGGAGTCTATGCATCAACAGAGATTGACTCATTGTGATAACAAACAACGAAAATTTCAAAAGTTTCAGACAATAGCAACGTGAGTACTTATCAGTTCAAATTCTTCTGAAGTGACAGTTGTATTCAGAGTACTACTAGACAGCTTAGCCAACATGTTATAGGATATATCCCGTTGTAGTTTGGGAAAAAATAGACAAAGACCATCACAATCTCCTTTTTTTCACATTAAGATGATAGCGGTTATTCAGTGGAAAAAAAGAAGCCTTAATGAGGTTCCATCGCATCCCATCTAATCTTTCCAACGGACTCCATATTCGTCTGCTCCATACAGTCGAGGATATAAACATTTGAACTATTAAGCCCTAAGTATCCACTCAGAAGAAGTCTTGCAGACATCCCTTCCTTGGTCAATTAAGACCTAACCAACTGACAGTCATGCTGTTCTCTATTATTGTAGTTATCACAGATTGCTCGACATTTCGATCTTTTCAAGTATTGTTTTGTAGGGATCATTGTTGGATTGGTTGGAGGATTTTATCATGAGCTGACATCAGTTAGAGAACCATTGGAAAACCAGTCACAGGGAGTACTGCTAGACAGCTGTTTCGTCAGACTAGTGCTTGGTACTATTCAGCAGTACCCACCCATCACAGGGTTTTGAACACAGAACCTTCTGGTTACAAGGTTAGCGAGCTAGCTCGTAGACCATTAGTCCACAGGGACACGATCCAATGGCCAGTGCATGAATTCCAACTCCTGACAATTCTTGGCTTAGCGCGACCACTTCTCAATGTTTTCTTCGATGAGTTACTGCCTCACCTTCAACCTGCTTCACCCTACTGGTCACGGCTTCCCACTAGAATCCAAGGTTAACTGCCTAGATAGGGCCAGTCACTAGTGAATATCAGGTTAATTTTCATGTATTGGTTTTGTAGGGATTGTGTCTTTGCAGGTTTTCCAATGCCTCTCTAGATGATGTCAGCTCACAATGAAACCCTCCAACCAATCAAACACAATCCCTACAAAACCAATACAATACATACAATAGCCAGCCATTGTAGGCGAATCAGAATCATATCAGAAATGTGTATTGTGGAACAAGTATAAGTTAGATGGGATGGAACAATAGTCAGTTCGTTTTCAAAGGTGCACGGTCAATGAGAACATGGGATAAAATGAGATGAAATAATTTACTGATGTATATGTGAACACATTCAACAAAAGTACGGGTTTCGACAGTGAGCGTAATCAGGGAGTGCGAGACGATATGAATACTACAGAAAATAAACCAACCAATTGGGTTGACCAGACATAAGTTCAAAGTTGAAAATAACGGCAATAATAATAAAGATTATAAAATAATAAAGATGATGTGATGTCAAGTTGAAAGTACTTTTGGTGATGGATATCCACAGAACTTCCTATAAAAGTATATGTCACTACCTAGAGATAGGATAACGATGGATACCGTAGATAAGAAACCTTTGCATCTTAAGTTAAGTTACAAAAGGGAAATTGCAGCTGACATTCTAAAATGTCGACTTAACAGAGCAGGAGAGAGAACATTTCCTGCAGCTTAACTGGTACTCAGCTTCTCAGCTAAACCAGTACTCACACAACGAATCAAGAAGAAATTACCAAAGATGGCCTCATCACTGTGTATCTATGACTTCATCTGCTCATTTGGATCTAGTTACATTGACCGTACTCAGATGGCTTTATCCATGCACGCACGTGAAGATGCACCTGTATGTATGGTAGAGTAAAGGGGTAACCAAATGCGTAAATAGTGCAGTCTTAGCCAACTAGGCAGATACTGGACACTCGATAAAACTTGACCAGGCGTTCTCAATTATTTACCGCGTTCTTGGTAATCTATCTAGAGGAGCTCGACTACGTCTTCGATCAGTAGCTGAAGCGGTTGAAATCACTACCAGAAGACCGACGTTTTGTATGCAGAAGAAGTATGTTTAACCTCTATGTTTACCTTGGCCTACAATAAGACCAACAAATCTTCCATAAACACTAGCACTTTACGAGTTGATCACCGATTGATATCAGTTAGAGAACCATTGGAAAACCTTCAAGGAGTACTGGATAGCTGTTTGATCCCAGTTTGGTAACCATTGCCAGTAGTCACCCACCACCAGTGTTTGAGCCCAGGACCTTCCGATTACAAGGCAAGCTCGTATACCATTCAGCCACTGGGACCCAATTCAGCGGCCAGTCCATGAATTCTAACTTCTACCAACTCGTGATTTAGCGAGACCACCAACCAATGTCATCGGTGGGATATCCATCTTCACACTTATACGAGCTTGCCTTGTAACCGGAAGGTCCAGGGTTCGAACAATGGCAGTGGGTGAGTACTGCCGATGATTCCCAAACTAGGATGAAACACCTATCTAGCAGTACTCCCTGTGTCTGGTTTTCTAGTGGTTCTCTAACTGATAACAATCCGTGATCAACTCGTAAAAACGAATCTAATCCTTAAAAACCAACTATCGAAAATTATTATCATTGTTGTTTGACAATCATTCACCAATAGTACTTTTAGGTTTACACCACATCATCGTTATTATTTTACAATCATCATTATTATTGTCGTTATTTTCAACATTGAACTTATGTCTAGTCCGCCCCATTCGTTGGTTTATTTCCTGAAGTATTCATATTGTCTCACACACCACGGATTACACTCACTCTGGAAACCTGTATTTTTGTTGACTATATTTGTATATATATATATATATATACACATCACTAAATTAAATTACTTCATCTCATTTTGTCCCATGTTCTCATTGACCATGCATATTAAAAAACGAACTGACTATTGTTCCATCCCATTTGACTTATACTTGTTCCACAATACACATTTCTGATATGATTCTAATTCGCCTTTACTGGCTGGCTATTGTATGCTTAAATTAATGGACTTATAATTGTAGAGCCTTAAGAAGACGGATTTATTGAAACCACAATTGTTCTCTCTAGCTATTTTTGTTCTGAATAACTATAACTAATTTATTTTTTGAAACCTATTTATTTATATGCTGTTCTCCCTTCTTCTTTTTTGTGTTTTTTTCATCTTTCAATTAGCTTCATTTCCACTACTCTTCTATCAATAATCTGGAATCCTTTGAAATGGGTGATGTGACAGTCTATATTACGCCGAAAATCAATGTTCCACCTGAATTAAACATTACTGATATTTTAAGCACTCGACCAGATACGACGTAAGTTTCCTTTTGTATATATAGTAACAAACCAAACAGTATAGTGGACAGGCACTTTTCGGTGGCGAACTCATTGTCCTCTCTAGCTGTACAATTGCATTTAGATAAAATGTGGTTTTTATCAAAGACGTCAGTAACAAAAGTGATGAATGAGTTGTCACAAACGTGTTCGTCAATATTAAACAGCGCATTATCGAACTTCTTGAAAAACCAAACTCGATATATGTGTAAAACTTGGGCACTGTGGCAGTACGTAATTCCACATTCATTTGTTTATTAGATATATCACACAGTCAGTGAAACAGTATTATTCTTTACTGGATGACAAAGTTTCGAACAAAATTTATTGTTCATAATCATATCAACTGTAATCACACGACTTCGAAACTTGAGTTTTATAGTTTTCTTTGTTCTCTCCTATTTGTCGTCGTTGGGGTAGTAGAGTTTTTCAGATATCTGGGTGGACACGTGTTGAATCATTCCTATTAACCGCATTTGCAGTTGATTCGATAAACAAAACCTCTGTTATCAATGTCTACTTCCACCCTGCTGCAACATTAGACTTTAAAACTGTCATCTTATCCCATCATCCTATTGTATGGCTGTGCTGTGTGTAATTGCATGTGGTGAGTGCTATAGCTGAACTATTCTCTAGATTTCTTATCTTATTCGAGTCAACTAATTTAGATTTTACTGGGTTTTTATGCTCGGCTAGTCTGACTGCGTCAGTAAAAATAGGATTGGTGAAATGTTAAAGTGACAGAGCACAAAAACTAAGTAGTACCAAGGAAAATCTAAGACAGGAAGTGAGACAGAGGAGAGAAGCTTTGAAACTTAATAACTACCCGGATAAATTAGTCAGGAAATATGCAGGGAGATGTAAAAATAAAATCAATAATGATAGTAGTGATAGTGATAATACTTATAATAATAATAGTAATAATAGTGATAATAATAACAATATTAATGACGACACCAACAATGAGGAATCTAAATCATCAGTAGTAATTCCATACAAGGAAGGAACCTCAGAAACCTTACGCAGAACTGTTAACAATACTGGCAGGAATAAAAGTGGCTGGCATTCAAACCCACAAACTCAATCAGAAACAAGCTTTGTCGGTTAAAGGATCAATCCTGTGGAGCCTTTAAAACAAAACCACTTAGTTTATCTAATACCCTGCAATGATTGTCAGGTCAAATACATAGGTCAAAGTAGTAGAACAAGGGCGGTCAGACTGGTCGAGCATAAAAACCTAGTAAAATCAAATTAGTTGAATCGAATAACATAAGGTATCTAGAGAATAGTTCAGCTATAGCACTCACCACATGCAGTTACACACAACCGTTACAATAGGATGGGATAGGATGACGGTTTTACAATCTAATGTCACTGGCTGAATGGAGGGAGAGATTGGTAACAGAAGCTTTGTTTATCGAATCAACTGCAAATACGTGTAATAGGAATGATTTGACACCTGTTTAGTCGGAGATCTGGAAAATTCTACTACCCCAACGACGACAAATAGGAGAGAACAAAGAAAACTATAAAACTCAAGTTCCGAAGTCGTGTGATTACAGTTGATATGATTATGAACAATAAATTTTGTTCGAAACTTTGTCATCCAGTAAATAATACTGTTTCAATGTGTGATACATCTAATAAACAAACTAATATGGTTACTATATTTGAATTATGTGATTAGATGAATAGTTTAATAACTGAATGAGTTGTAATCAGAATGTTTAGAGAAACGAAGGGTAGACACCACTAAGCGATTGCTTCAACAATCTGGGAAAGACCAGTCACCAATGTGTTTGTGGAAGCAAATACACAGGTCATACAGAAAGGCGATTGTCTACTCGCATGGTGGAGCATTTGCCAAAATGGCTGAAAACAGCTGAGTGCAAATTGCCAAAATCCTCAATAACAAAACATCTTGTGGATTACGGACATGATATCGACGCGGTCAAGTCATTCACTATTGTCAGCAGACAAAGAAACAAGGAGATGCTTGCAATTGCAGAGGCTTTTGGAATTCGAGTTTATAAAACAGGTCTCTGTGTACAAAAGGAGATGGTCGTCACTCTGAATCCACCATGGTAATACGTTTTACTTATTATTCTACCTCTCATTATTATTATTATTGTTCTTGATTCATTTAAAACTATCCTTTATAAGTAGGATTATCTTAACTCACTTCAACACCATTATTATTATTATTGTTACTATAACTATTACTATTGATATTACTCTGTTTACAGTTCTTGATATATTCTCTAATGACTAATTGTTTATCTAAGTAATGTAATTGAAGCGTAATGCAATTTATCTTAATTTTGATCTCTCACACTCTCTCTCCCCTTATCTATTTGAACATGACCTGGAAAACATTCGCACCTGTCTTTCTGCATGACTAATTCAATGTAGTTGGTTTACTTATCAGTTTTATATCTCCCAATGTAATTTCAAAAGTATATATATATCCGTGTATGTAGAGTATTCAGCTGACGAGTTCTACCGAAATTTGATGAATTTCATTAAATCCTCCTTTATTAACCTTTATTACTTGTTTTAAATTCGTGTCGGAAAATAAATGTTTTCAATTCTTGAAGAAGCATTATTACTTATCATTTGAATCCTTTGAGTTCTAAGTGTGGAACATAGCGCTTCAAGCTTCAGCCTTGGAGTTTCAGCAGAAGCAGCAGTGGTGGGCCAACCCTCCCTCATTACCAGGATTACTATGAGGCTACGTGGCGAAGTTTAAAAGGGCGTCGGTAGGGGGTCGAACTCTGGATCGCTTGCGTGGTTGGCTAGTGTTCTACTACTGAACTAATAACTCACACATCCATCTGATGAGTCCCGAACAGGACGAATTGCATATCCTGGATTCCACTGCTAGTCATGGTGTGGTGAGAGCAAGCTGCTAGCCGATTGGTAGACATTGATCTACGCTGATTGGTAGAAATTAATCTAGGCTGATTCAACGACCGATCACAGCTGACCTAGACGTGGACAAGTATGATTCGCAGACAAGTGGCTCGCATTTCCGAGAAATATCGAAAACGAGAAAGCAGAAGACTGCGTTTGTTTACAAACAACCAATCAGAAGACCCCCTTCTTTCTGCGGGCAGAAGCCTATTAATGTACGTAAAATACATATAGATACCTGTTGATTTTCGTAATAAAACTGATCTGTTGCCTGGCCCTTGTCTTCTGTTGTTACAATGGTCCACCAAATTACTTGAATTGAACGTTGTTGAATATAACTACAAGCACTCTTCGTGTGAAAACGATACAAGCTACAAATCAAACCTACAACGTCTATCACATTTCAGCGTTACTCATCTTTTTTAAGGACAAGTCGAGTGATTTATGAGACAACTCTCGCCGGCATAGTCACCTTCAATAATTGGGCGCAGAGTTAATCAGTACACTCCATCTGGCCACCAGTCTTACAAAGAGTCAGTCACAGTCGACGTAGCTCAATGATAAATTTTGTAAATTCGGTATCCGAAGAAACGCTTTCAGTATGTTTGAATGTAAGAACTGGGATGAAAAAAGTCCTCCATTATTTGACTCGTAACTGCTAAATTTAAGCTGCTTCTCATGTTATGTAATGAGGATAAACAACTCCAGTTCGACAACAAAATTTATCGCCAGGTTGATGGAGTGGCGATAAGGAGTCCATCGGATCTTGTATTAGCTGATATTTTTATGGCCAATTTAGAAAAGACGAAACTCGAGTGTTCAGTTGATGAAACAACAGCCTACTATAGATACACTGATGACATATTCATTGCATCCAATCATCATTTGAGTCACGTTTCTTCTGTATTGGGTTTATTCAATAATGTAAAAAAGAGTATCACTTTCACGATGGAACACAAAGACGCTGATAAGTTTCACTTCCTGGATAAAAACGTGAAGAGACAAATGCATAGGACACTCGAGGGATATATATATCGTAAAGACACACGGAGTGGTCTCTAATAATAATAATAATTTGCTTTATTCCAAAACAGTACTTGTGATACAGAATGGAACTCTCAGCATTTTTACTGCAGTATTGCATCCAGTTAGTACATTATCAATAAATAAAATTCTACATAGATTAAGGAAATCTCAGTTCATTATGACAACAACATATTGGCATGTCGGTAGCAAAGCCGAAGCTGAACAGTGTTTGAAGGTGTTAGAAAAGTATGTGCTATCATATTTACTGGCGTAAGCGGAAGAAAGAAACAAAGCAGCAAATAACGGAAAAAAAGAAAAAAAGAGAGAGAGAAAAAAGGAAAAGAAAGAAAGAAAACGTTGTACCTATAAATGATATGAGTTGGAAAGACAAGATCCAATTGTTCTACTGACTATTTAATAAGTTATAGGTGTCACGCCTAATGCTTTCTTTATCGCACAGAACACGAGCTAAGTAGAGTATGGTTGAGTTTTTGTACTTACTAGTGCGAGCATATAGTTTCCTATATAGGCTTCTGGTCCTGCCTGATGAGATGGAAGGGGAGAGTTGCGAATGAAGAGGGTGGTGTGAGTTAGATTAAATGGATTTGGCCCATTTTTCACATAAGTTCAAGTGCCTGTCAACCAGAATATTAACAAGCTGGTTAAGTGGTACATTGCTTATCCTGCTAACAACCTTCAACATCCTGCGTAATATGTTATAGTCTTTCTTCAGTAGCCCAGGAAAGACTAAGGGGGAACAATAGAGAATAATAGGCAGGACGCCAGTAAATATGATAGCACATACTTTTCTAACACCTTCAAACACTCTGTTCAATTTTGGCTTTGCTACCGACATGCCAATATGTTGTTGTCATAATGAACTGAGATTTGCTTAATCTATGTAGAATTTTATTTATTGATAATGTACTAACTGGATGCAATACTGTAGTAAAAATGCTGAGAATTCCATTCTGTATCACAAGTACTGTTGTGGAATAAAGCAAATTATTATTATTACGTCACATTCTTCGAACATGTACCAAGTAGCTTCCGGTTAAACAGGACAGAAGACGGTTTAAGCTCTTCAATTACCAAACACCCGATAGACACAGGACACCTAGGAGATGGCTCTGGGATCATTCAAAACAATCAACAGACAAAATAACGTACAAGTCATCTTCAGCTTGCTGAGGCTATCCCAATAAAACCAGGCTGAAACCAGACACAATGAATCTGTCAGTGGACTTCAATCAACCTTGGTGACTCATCCCTACATAACTCTTGGTCTTCTAATTTCGTTACCTTATCTGTTTGACTTCCATAAGAGATCTTTTTTTCTTGACCCTATTAGTTCTGCTCACCTTCTTGCGCACCAAATTTTGATCTTCTCTTATCTAACTATGTAATTGTTTAATAATTTTCTCTTACCATCCTAACAACAAACTTGTCAATTAATTTTCTAGAAACTTCTCCCAAACAAAATATATGCAGATATGTCCAAACCAAGTTCACTTTTAACAGTTTGAAAAAATTTGGGCATTGGGTATATGATATTCATTATAATAAAGGTTTTCTTGTATTTCCCAATGAGTGAAAAAGAACGATATTGCTTTTACTGACGTTTCGCTATTTAATGCTAATAGCTTTATCAAAGTAGTATTATTAAACCAGAATTTACAAAATCTCAGCAACAAAGAGTTAAGAGGTGAGAAAATAGACTTAGGTCAAGTTAAGAGGACACATTGAAAGTTGAAATAACAATGAATATCAATAAACCAAATAACAAAGGTAATAGTACATCTGTTTTGATATCAAAACAAAGTTTACTAACTTGATCATCGTTCGTCAGTATGGGGTCATTTTTCGTTGTCAAGTTGGTCAATTGGTAAAGATAACAAAACCAGGTAGGTGTAGATTGTTGGATTTGATCAGTGTTTAAAATTATAAAAGCAGTGTGTGTTTACATAGTGAACTTGCATATCACATTCGTGTTGATTTTGTCACTTCATGGGGGGGGGGGAGTGTTGTAACCAGGTCAGATTCTGTTTTAGTCCATCATTCCTATTCAGACAATTTGGATTCCACTTGATATGAAGTGCTTCTGATATTAGACGTTCTTTCTGATTTCTGAAATGCTTTTTCTGTGATGATTTCAATATTGTCTATAGAATATTGAAATAATCCAGAAAAAGCATTTCAGAAATCACCAAGAACGAATAATATCGAAAGCACTCCATGTCAAGTGGAATCCAAATTGTCTGAATAGGAATGATGGACTAAAACAGAATCTGACCTGGTTACAACACTCCCCTCCCCCATGAAGTGACAAAATCAACACGAATGTGATATGCAAGTTCACTATGTAAACACACACTGTCTTTGTAATTTTAAACACTGATCAAATCCAACAATCTACATTTGATTTTGTTATCTTCACCAATTGACCAACTTGACAACGAAAAATGATCCCATACTGACGAACGATGATCAAGTTAGTAAACTTTGTTTTGATATCATAACAGATGTACTATTACCTTTGTTATTTGGTTTAGTGATCTTCATTGTTATTTTGACTTTCAATATGTCCTTTTAACTTGACCTAACTTGTCTATTTTCTCACCCCTTAACTCATTGTTATATATATGCTGAGATTTTGTAAATTCTGGTTTAATAATACTACTTTGATAAAGCTATTAACGGCATTAAATAGCGAAACGTTAGTAAAAACAAAATCGTTTTGTTTTTCATTCATTCATTGGGAAATACAAGAAAACCTTTATTATAATGAATATATGAATATACATACTTACACTTCAGCTACCTTGTCATCCTGATGTTTTATCTCACCATGAATGTAGGTTGTATGCAGCTGATGAGGAGAACGAACGAAATAGAATGGATCTATGTTATTCCGCACCAAAGTTTTTTTCTTTCTCTGCTAATTACTTACAGACTTAGCTTCACTGAGTGTCTTTAATCACTGTCGAAAACTCAATATCTACACCCGATAGCATCCGATAGCCTACTGATGCACCTTTGTTTAAATTACATTTATTTTGGTTTTGTTTCCTACCCTCCGCCTCCCTCCCCTGACGCATCTATCCATCTATCCCCATGACTTTCTTTTCCCCTTTTCAGAATTGCTAAGAATCAAACAGAAGTAATGAAAATGGATGAAAAACATTTTAGTAAACATGCACCGAAAAATTTATACCTTGTAACAACTGACGACGGATGGAAAGATCCTAAATCTACTCCGACTACAATCAATCCATATCGATCAGAATTGAACATATATAAGGATAACATTTTAGAAAATGTAAGTTATCATTAAAAAAATTTCTTCTGTAGAAATGTTTTCTTTGATACTATATGTTGACTAGAGGATAATTTCTAGGAAATTTTTTTTCGGTTTTCTATTCTATACATGAATAATCCTCATCCAGAAGTTAAGAGAAGACAGCTTGAAAATCCCCATCGAGTCATATGAAAAAGCGAAGACGTTCAGCGAAGAGACTCTTTTCGGCGAATTCATTCACATAACTGTACAATCGCATTTATATATAAATATTTGTGTGTGTGTATGTTTACATGAGGTTTGTCAAGTTTAGATAATTGATCAGGTAATACAAGAATGATCTAGTATAGAAACAAGGTTAATTAGACAGCAAATAAAGTGAGACTGAGTTAGTAAGTTAGATGACGTAATACTATTGACTAGAATGTTTCAACATAGATAAGGGTAGCAACAGAGGTAATTACAGGTAGAGACTAAGTAGAAGTGAAATTGAGTAAATAAGTTGGATGGCTTAACATAAATGACTAGAAATTCAGCGTTGTTCAAGTCAGTAACAGTGGTAGTGAGGTGTAGAAATTAAATCGGGTGGGGTAGAGAACAAGAAAGTTGAACATGTAAAATATTACAATTGAAAAGACAAAATAATACTAATGAAGAGACAGAAGAAAAGATTAGGTAGAATTCAATTGCCGGATAATAAGATAGATTACGTTCATTGCAGGTGTAGTGATTGAACGAACTTCTTCTGTATACAGAGTTCAGGACTTAGCAGGTGAATCGCCATTGCTTCTGCAGTTTGAAGAAGTCTGACTCGTACACCTTTAGGAAGACTACTTCTTACTCTGTAGACGACTTTGAAGTTTGTTTGGGGGTGTAGCTTGGTGTCCGGATCCTTTCAGATGTTCGAATATGGAACTGCGGGGACATCGATTTTCTCCTTTGTAAAACCATTTTGGTAAGTGTTCGGTGATACGTTTGGAAAGCAAACGCTGGATACGGCCGACATACCTGGCTCCACACGAGCAGGTGAATTGATAAATACACATTCATGAGGCCAGCATTGGTAGTTTATCCTTCGCGTTCACATGAATCATAGGTTTTGTGGAGAAGGTTAGTCGTAGTTCAGCTGCGAAGAAGGCCTTCTTAAGTGAGCGCGACAATCGATTTTTTTAGTGTTTCTGCAGATATATCTTCATTGAACTGAAGGTTCATGTAGAGTAGTTTTTTCGGGACGCTAAGCATAGGCGGCTTTTGTGGTCTAGGATTCATAGATTTTGCAATAAATCTTTCTGGATAACAATTCTCGACGAGGATTCTCTTGAGATTGTTCAGTTCATCTTCTATGGTGTCCGGGGTGTAAATTCTGCGAACTTTGTAGCTGAGTGAACGGATCAGGTTTCGTTTGGTGTATAGGGGTATCCAACTGGGAAAGTTAGTAAGCTGTCCGTTTCAAGTCGACTTTCTGTAGATAGATCTTTTCAGTGTTCCATCATGTTCTTGTCTTGTTAGTTGGACGTCAAGAAAGAATATTTTAGAGTTGGACTCTTTCTCCAGCGTGAACTGAATCGTGGGGTGGCAGTTGTTAAACGACTTCAAGATGTCGTCTAGATTTTCTTCGTTGTTGACGATAATGAAAGTGTCGTCGACGTATCTCTTATAGATTTCGAAGGTATCGATCATTTTCTTCAGGCATGTGTTTTCGAGTTTTGCCATGAAGAAATCTGCAAGCGATGGGCCTAGTGGTGAGCCCATAGCTATACCATCCTTTTTTGCGATATATTTCGTTGTTGAAAGAGAATTGAACATTCAGGATACACCTCAGTAGGAGTTCTTTAAGATGCTCGGTGGGTATACCGATGTTTATTCCTTTGGAGTGAATAAGTTCGCATATACAGCATATTGTTTCAGTCAGTGGAACGTTTGTGAATAGTGATGTGACATCTAATGAAATCATTGTCTTGCTGGATACGTTAATGTTTTCGATTGAGTCAATAAAGTCGAATGAATCTCGAACTGTGTGGCAGGAAACTTGTCTTCTGATTGGTTCAAGTAAGTCTGCTAACCATTGGGCTGTGCGGTGATAAGGTGAATTGGTCATGTCGAAGAGGGATACCCTTCTTGTGTACTTTCGGGAGTCCGTAAAGTCGTGGTATATTTGAGCCAGATGATCTAAGGGTTTCGAACGTTTCGTTGCTGATGAAAGATTCAGTCTTCAGCTTACGGAGGGTGTCCGTAGAGAACAGAACAAAAGCAAAAATATTGTCAATGTGAAGAGGCAATTTTCGGCGGCGAAATCATTGTCCTCTCTAGCTGTACAATTGCATTTAGATAAAATGTGGTTTTCATGAAAGACGGCAGTAACACACGGTCGTCAATATTAGTCAGTGCATATAAGGACTTGTTGAATAACCATATTCGAGTTATGTGATAAGATGAATAGTTTAATGACTGAATGAGTTGTAATCAGGATGTGTAGAGAAACGAATGAAAGCGTGGAATTATGTAAGAGTGTGACGACAGAAGACAAGGGCCAGGCAACAGATCGTTTATTGAGAAAACCAACAGATATTTATAGATTTTTATGTACATTATTATTAGCGTTATTGTTAGCACAGAAGCAACGTCTTCTGATTGTTTGTTTTCTTGCTCAAGGATATTTTGCCATCTCTTTGTGGCCGTTTCTTAGAAAGTTTAACCACATATCTGCGAATCGTATTTGCACACGTTAAGTCTGCTGTGATAGTGTGGTGAGAGAGGGCCGCTAACCAAAGTTGGTAGACAGTAATTGACGTCAATGTTTATGTCCCCAATATTGGTGGTGAGAAAATGAGAACAAAGGCTTTGCGTAGGCGGATACAGTTAGCATATGGATGATCTGACACAGCCACAAAGGGATGCAAGGTTAACTTTCTGTGAGGAAAAACCAATCAAAAGACTGTATTTTCTACTAACAATAATCTACAATAATGTACATTAAAATCTATAAATATGTGTTGATTTTCCTTAATAAACGATCTGTTGTCTGGCCCTTGTCTTCTGTTGTTACAATAGGTTGGTGAGTTCCTCAAAGTTAAGCTTGTTATTGATTTTTCTCATGACCGCGACCCGGGACGTAAATATTGACGTAAATTGCTGTCTACAATTTTTGGCTTGCAGCTAGCTCTCACCACAAGAGTTCTTAGGAGTTAGAAAAAATGAACAGACAAACAATAATCAAGTCACTAGAAATCAACACCGCTGTTACCATGGTAGTAGAAACGGTATGTATGCATAACTCTGGCTTTTCTAACTGAATGGCTAGAACCTCAGCAATGCTCATAGGAGACGAAAGCGTATTGCCATTTGACAGGTTATTTTTCGCTATGTTGATCACTTTGAAGGAGGTGTTTGTTGTGATAGGATTCTTTATTCCTTTTGGTGACATAGTTCAAAACTATTTTGCGGTAACGGAATGTTATCATTTGCACACTCTGAAAATTCTCTCTGTGCAGCGATCAAAGCCGATTCGTTATGGTCTGAACTCAGCAAACTGATCTCTGCGTTCTACTGTAAAGATGATGAAACTTCCTTCAGACATATGCCGTCACGAAATGCTCCAAAGACGGTGGAAAGACGATCACTCTGGCAGTAATTTTGCGGTTCTATTCAACAGTAATAACAACGTGAAAACCTCAAAATTATCTCAACATTACCATTAGACAGCTATACAGTCCAGTCTCGGTGCAAAACGAGCACCCAAGAATCAAGTAGAATATTCCCAACAAGGTTAGATCAAAACCTTCATCCACAAGAATGACACATTCAACAATTCTCACGAAATGTCCAAGGTCAAAATGATCTTTATTCAAGTATTGGTTTTGTAGGGGGTTTTGTTTGATTGGATGAAGGATTTCATCATCAGCTGACATCATTTAGAGAACCACTGGGAAACCTGTAGGGAGTACTGGAGATCTGTTTCATCCTAGTTTGGGACTCTTTATCAGTACGCACCAACCACAGGGGTTTCAACCCAGGACCTTCTGGTTACAAGGCGAGCTAGCTGATAGAGTATTAAGCAAATGGGACCCTATTAAATCGCCCATAAATTCTAACTTCTGCCAATTCACAGCATAGCGCCACCAGCAATACGAATGCTCACTAGCGACTGGCCCTATTCAGGCAGTTAACCTGAGGTTCTAGTGGGAAGCCGTGACCAGTTGGATACAGCAGGTTGAAGATGAGGCAGTAACTCATCGAAGAAGACACCGTGAAATGGTCACGCTATGCCGTGATTTGGCAGAAGTTAGAATTCATGGGCCATTGGATCGGGTCCCAGTGGGTTAATGGTCTACGAGCTAGCTCGCTAGCCTTGTAACCGGAAGGTGCTGTGTCCGAACCGGTGTTGTGAGGGCGTACTGCTGAAGAGTCCCAAACTAGGCTGACGAAAGGGCTGTCTCAGTACTCCCAGAACTTTATTCAATCAAACAGAATCACATCGCCGTAAAAATGACACACAAAACAGGGTATCAACTTGAAGTGTTGTATATATATTCATAATTCATTTCACCTTCATAATTGTTTACTTCACTTTTCCCCCTGTATATATTTAGTATTTATTGCTCAATCATATTCCCTTATATTTATGGGGTGGAGATATTGGCTACTTTGATAAGAATACAGTGCATAAATTTATGTCATCTGCTGGTATTGAATTAATCTTTTGGGTTGATAACAATGGAGTTATGCGTATTGGATATGAAGATTTACCACGTAATGAATGGGTAAGTTATTTAACACACACAACCCCGCCCTGCATTTTTTTCCTCATCTAATGCACTTACTGTACATTTGCTGAACAAAATTACGGGTTTATATTCAATAGTATTGTAACGACAGAAGACAAGAGCCAGGCAACAGATCGTATTTTTTGAGAAAATCAAGAGATATTTATAGATTTTTATGTACATTATTATTAGCGTTATTGTTAGCAGAGAAGCAAAGTCTTCTGATTGGTTGTTTTCTTGCTGAAGGTTATTTTACCATCTCCTTGTGACCGTTTCTTAGATGGTCAGGCCATATATCTGCGAATCGTATCCGCCCACGTTAAGTCTGCTGTGATTGGTTGGTGAGTTCCTCAAGGTTAAGCTTTGTTATTGTTTTTTTCTCATGACCCCGATTCGGGACGTAAATACTGACGTAAATTGTTGTTTATAATTTTGGCTTGCAGACAGCTCTCACTACAGTATCATGTTATTGTAAGGTGGTTGGAGGCGATCGGCAGGAAGCCTTACTTGACCTAGGTTTTGTGCTTGTTGATACTCGTCAGCAAGGAGTATCTGCAGCCTTGAAGGAACTCATATCCCTTATAGGAGGTAACTCGAGAGCCTCAATAGCCTAGTGATTGCAGCAGTCACTGGATGACGCGGGTTCGGATCGCAGATGAGATGTTGTTTCCTTCAAGATTTTAAATGGTTAGGCCTGGCTGACAGGTGAGTGGCAACAAACACGAAGGCTAAAGCGTCCTGGCGTTCGTAACATACCACTCACCTCTTAGAAAGCCAAGGTTAAGTGAGACGCATATCTGGTTTCGTTTCGCGTCATAGTCAAACCTTTGTCAAGAATTATAAATCTTTGACAGCACTATATTGTAACACAGGTAAAAGAATTTTTGTAAAATGACCTCTCCTCTCACTGGACCATTCTACCTGCTGAATTACTTAATACCTTTACAATGAAAAACGACTGTAGAGTGTACTTATTATTATTATTGTTTCCTTTAATTCCTAGAGGAACATAGGGCTTCAGCCGTGCGTCTCCATTGCGTTCGGTTCTCTGCTTGAGTCTTCACCTGGCTCCAAGTTTGCCCACACGTTTCCATCTCCTCTTCACATGACCTCCTCCAAGTCACCCTTGCACTGACGACCAACTCGCCGCTTCCCTTTCGGGTTTCACTCGAGCAATGGCTTGTCTAGTGATGTCACTTGATGGTTTCATTTCTCATAGTATGTCCAATCCATCTCCATTTCTTCCTGCCTATTTGTTTCACAATCGGTTCCTGCTGTGTTGGTTCTCTCCCAGAGATCCCTATTGCTGATCCTTTCTGGCCATCTGATCTTGAGTACTGAGCGAAGACAGCTGTTATTGAAGGTCTGTAGTTTGTTTGAGATGCTCTTTATGACGCGCAGTGCAAGTCTCTGATCCATATAGTAGCACTGACTTCACATTGGAGTTGAAAATCCGGATCTTGTTTTTCATGCTGAGTGTTGTTGACCTCCACACAGACTTGAGAGTAGTGAAAGCTTGTCTTGCTTTTCCGATTCTTGCTTTGATATCGTCGTCAGTTCCGCCTGTAGTTGAGACGATGCTTCTCAGGTCGGTAGGTAAAGGAGGTTACTTCTTTCAAATTTCTCCCATTTATGCTGATCTTTGTCTGTTGTTGTTGTTCTTGTCCAGGAATCTTTATTACCTCTGTTTTCTCTATGTTCACCTGAAGTCCTATCTGTGATGCTTCTTCTGCCAACTTGTTGCTTTTCGCTAGCATATCTTCCAGTTTGTGGGAAATGAGACATATATCATCGGCGAAGTTCAGATCCTCCAAGTTTTTTGTGTGAGTCCATTTTATGCCTGTTTCCTGTAGAGTGTACTTACTTTAATTGAATACCGAATAGTAACTAATGGCATGCATCTAGTCATTGTTGTTTGGTGCAGACGGGATTCTGTCAGTCAAGCTTGCAGTGTAGCTTCTATTTTAGGTGACTCGCCAACATGGTGCATTTTGAAATATTGTCGTTGTTAGATGGCTGGAAGCAATCAATAGGAAATCTTGGTTCTATGTTTCGTGCTTGTTGACACTCATTGGTCAGTAAGACGTACCGGCAATTTTGAGGCAACTCATGTCCCTTCTGAGGTTCGAACTCGTTGTCACCCAGGGAGTGCTGTAGTCAGAGAAGTTACTACTGAGCTATTCGGTCCCGCGATTCACCTCCTGTAGGACTGTAATGGATATTTTGATCGGATACTAGATAGTAACTAGTGTCATACGTCTATCCTTCTTTTGGTGAATGTAATGTGACCATGTCACATTACAAAATCTAACTGAAGCATCAAACAAAAATAACTAGACGTTTGACATTAGTTAATTATTATCGATCGTTCTGAAGCCACATAAAAAACCTTGGAGGATATGGACTTCGCCGATAATATATGTTTGATTTCCCACAAACTGGAAGATATGCAAGTGAAAAGCAACAAGTTGGCAGAAGAAGCATCCACAGGAGATGGGCGTTCAGGTGAACATAGAGAAAACAGAGGTGATGAAGATTCCTGACCAACAGCAGCAACAACAACAACAACAGACAACAATCAGTATAATGGGAGAAAATTGAAAGAAGTAACCTCCTTTATCTACCCACCTGGGAAGCATCGTTTCAGCTACAGGCGGAACTGATGAAAATAGCATGGCTAGGATCGGGAAAGCAAGGCAAGCTCTCATTACTCGCAGGTCTGTAGGAAGGTCAACAGCACTCAGCATGAGAACAAAAATAAAATCCGGATTTTCAACTCCAATGTGAAGTCAGTGCTGCTTACTATATGTATCAGAGACTTGGCGCCGCGTCACGAGGGGCACTTCGAACAAATTACAGACTCATCAACAGCTGTCTTCGCTCAATACTCTGCTCAAGATGAGATGGCCAGAAAAGCTTAGCAATAGGGATCTCTGGGAGCGAACCAACCAGCAGGAAGAAATGGAGGTGGATTTGCCATACTCTGAGAAAACAAACCATCAGGTGACATCACACACTAGGTCATCGCTCGAGTGGAACCCGAATGGGAAGTGGCGAGTTGGTCGTCAGTGCGAGTGTAACATGAAGGAGTTGATTGAGAGAGGAGATGAAAGCATGTGGGCAGACGTGGAGCCAGGTGAAAACGTTGGCAGAGAACTGCACGTAATGGAGACGTGCGGCTGAAGCCCTATGTCCCTCTAAGAATTAAAGGAAACAATAATACAGTCCCACAGAAAGTCATTCGGGAACGTGAACAGCTCAGTAGTAACATCACTGACTTCAGCATTGCGTAGCACAAGTTCGAATCTCACAAGGGATGCAGATATGCTCTGCTGACCAGTGAGTTCCAACTAGCCCGAAACTTAGGTCCAAGCTCCTGTCGATTCCCCCCACCCCCGAACCATCTGACAACATTGAACTTAGTTTGCTTTGTGGAAATCAGTCTGTTTTGTTGTTCTTCAAAAATTATCAAGACGACAAAATGTAATAATAGTAATAATTTACTTTATTGCAAAACACTACTTACAGTACAGTGTGAAATTCTCAGCATTTGGTACAATATTGCATCTAATTTACTCAACAATAACCAGAAACAATACATGGCATGGGTAACTAAAACTGATAATAGCAACTTTTTGTATTAACGATGATAATTAAAATAGTTTTATCTAAAATTATAAGGCAGTTGAAATAGTGCCACCATAAGTTACAAATAGGAGAAGAAAAAAGAGCCAATTATATTGCCAATTACACAATAAGTTTAGGTGTGGTTGTGTTCTCTGAGCTGAATAGTTAATTTGCGAAGCTTTCATCGCACAACTACTAGGCAACATCTTCAGCGCATACTTCAATTTGAATTGAAGTGAGCTTTTAGATCTCTCCACGAGTTTATTAATCATCTCTCCCGGTGACGTTGGGCGTGATTGGTTACTTGTATTGGAAGTGATTGTTTCTTTGACTTGAACTTTGCCCCTCTGTGTGAGGTTTCTTTATTATTGGTTGATAAATTTTGTCAATCTCGATGTGTCTATTGATTGATGATTCACTGGAATACCAAGCTTCTAAAAATTCTCTATCATTCTTGTTGTTACCTCTGTCTAATATTTGAACGTTGTCCCGGTCGAATTGATGTCCGTGGTCGTCTGTATGTAGTGATATGAGGGAGTAGATGTCATGTCCTTTGGCGGCTAGCTTATGTTCGTGGATACGAAGGTAAAGGGAACGTCCGCTTTGGCCAATGTAGTGTTTTTCGCAGTTGTTACAATTTATTTTGTAGATGATTTTGGTTTTATCTTCTTTCGCTTTTGAGTCTTTCGGTCGACATAGAACTGAGTGAAGTGACTTTGTTGGTTTGTGTACGACGTCAATTCCTCATCAAGGTCTGAAGAGTCTTGCAGTGATTTCTGAGATATCCTTTATATATGGTAGGACAACGTTCAAATAATAGACAAAGGAAACAACCAGAATGGTAGAGAATGTTTAGAAGATTAGCATCCCAGTGAATCATCAATCAACAGACACATCGAGATTGACAAAATTTATCAACCAATAATAAAGAAACCTCACACACAGAGGGTCAAAGTTCAAGTCAAAGAAACAATCACTTCCATTACAAGTAACCAATCACGCCCAAGGTCACCAGGAGAGATGATCAATAAACTCGTGGAGAAATCTAAAAGCTCACTTCAAATTGAAGTATGCACTGAAGATGATGCCTAGTAAGTAGGGCGATGAAAGCTTCACAAATTAACTATCCAGCTCAGAGAACATAACCACATCAAAATCATCCACCTGAGCTACAAATCTTCTCCATCATACACAGTAAGTTGTAAGATTCACGCTTAACACTATCTCTGTCATATAGAACGCGGGCGGACCAAATAGGATATCGTCGGGTTTTTTACTTGGTTGTGCGAGTGAACATATAATCTTTTATAGTGACTTGTTCTGGTCCTACCTACCTGATGAGATGCATGGCGTGAAGTTTTGAGAATGAG